TATAATTTTTTCTGTTCATGTAAACATAAAGAGTAATAATAATTTCTGTTCAATTTTCTCTTCATCTCATTTTTTCTGTCTCAAATTTTTTCTCCCCATCCAAATGGAGAATAAAAGTTATGGGATATTTTTAACTGAATTACATTTTTAACAAATTTGTTAATTATGTTTAAATTGATAATATATTTTTATATTTATTTATATTTAATATAACACCTAATATAAGATGGACAATTGAGTGATTTGTTGATTAAGAATGTTTATTTTTAAAAATAATAAATTATATATTGAAAAAAATTATATTTTTAACATATAACCTCGCAAAGATGTATTGTATATAAGGGAGTAATTGATGACATGGTGAGGAGCATGATTGAATTTGACCCGTGGATAATATAAATGAAGGGGTAAAAACCCGAAATGTCAGTTGACATTGTTGTTTTAAATGAGAAGTCGCACTCGCAACATAAAAATCGAGGAGAGCGTCGTTGAGTTTCTCCGGAGCCAACGGAAAATGCAGTTGGGGTGATGAGTCAACAACTAGGAGGAGGAGGAGGACGGCAAAAGTGTAAAAGTGAGAAGAGTGGTGTGTCGGCTAGGGAACAGCGAAAGGGCGCGGGAAAAGTGCAGGATGTGGGTCCCTTCCTCCGACGCTTTTTGGGGCTGTTCCCTCTCTCATTCCTTTATAAATTATAATTACAATTATTACAATTGCAAGTAATTCTATAGTACATAAATACATTACAGATCCAAGTTATCAAAATATCTCTCCCATACACCCATTCGCTTTTTTGGAAGAAGGTGAGGGCGGGCAAAGCCCAATAATATTAACTAAAATCATAGAAGGGATTGAGATTATATACAATCTTCGAGCACTAAATCTTTGATAAAGTAAGGAATATTATGAAAAAAAGGAACTGTTGAGCTAGAAGTGAGCAAAATCGAATCGAAATTAAAAATTGAATTGAATTGAATTAAATTTTGTCTATTGGATTCGATTTATTTGATTTTTCAATTCGATTCACTTTTTTTATTTTAAATATTTCGATTGATCGATTCGATTCGGTTAGTAAAATTTAAAATCGAATAGACCGAACCAACCAAATTATATATAATTTATTAATTTATAAATTATATTTAATTTATAAATTATTTTTATTTTTTATTTTTTTTTAATAAAGAATAAAAAATAATAACATCACTTGAAACGCTATTTCGATTAGTCACTCTTATTAGTAGGCGTTGTGATTGGATTATGGGGCCATTATTTGATCATCGGTGTTTATTTGTGGTTGTTTATTTGATTATCCATACCTTTATAATATTTGGGCTTTATATCATATGGGTGTAATTAGAATGGGTGTAATCAGAATGGGCTCATATTAAAAAAAGAATAAAAAAAGGCTTAATTTTGTAGTGTTGTTTGTTTTAATATTTAAAAAATGGGCCCAATTTCAATAACCCAATATGAAATCAAAAAACTAAATTAACCGACTGAATCGAATTATCAAATTTCGGTTCGGTCCTTGTTCGATTCGATTGGTTTGTTCGGTTCGATTCAGTTTTTATTTTCAGTTTTATTTGATCGATCGATTCTGCGTATTTTGGGAGCAAACCGAATCGAACTGACTTATGCTCACCCCTCTATTGAGCGCCTCTTTGGCAAAACAATCAACCACAATGCTTTGAAGTCGTGAGATATGAGAAATCTCTAGTTGCCATTGAAAAGCTTTAAAATTTTAAGGATGACAAGGCCATGGGGGAGACTTTGCTAGAATCTGACTCAAACTTAATAATATCTACTAAGATTTTGTAATCAAATTCAAGCATGAACTTTTTATAGTCTGTGTCTCAAGCAAGTTGTAAGCTTTTCAAACAAACTCAAAATTCAACTTCTAACTAGTTACACAGACTTGAATGGCCATGCTTTAAAATATATAATTTCTTTTTCCTTTGCTTGATTTATCCTTCTCTTGCATCCAAAAAAAAAAAAAAAATACAAGTCAATTGTACCCTATCAACAAAAATAACCCCAGACAATAATGCTCTCTTTTCGAATTCAAGCTTGGGTTTAAATTAATTACTTCCCTCGTCTTATGCTAAAATCATATTCCTTTATGTCCTAAATATAGAAGCTGGATAAATATTTTATAGATATTAAGATAGAATTAGTTAAGTTAGGCCAGGATAAATTAATATTTCTTGCATTTTGGTTCGGAAGGAATAACATACATGTTTTTTAAAAGTCATGAATACATACATTTTTGCATTGTAAAATTTTAGTTTAATTCCAAGTCCGCATGAGTTTCAAATTTACAGCACGGTACATTTGAATTCCTAGCTATAAATGATTCGATCGCATCACCTGTAATAATTAGGGTCGCGGAGCCTTGAATGAGTTCATGCCTCGCATGATTTCTTAACTATAATAGCCTGAGAAATGCGAGATAGTTTCATGTATTTGGTGTTGTGATATTTAAGGAAACAAATTGGGACCTGCCAATCCAACTCAAGCAATATATGACAAGCTAATCAAGGAATCAGCTCCAGTTCAATGCTCATCACCCTAATGAGTGCCTTGAGCTCACAAGCGACAAGAGTGAGCAAATAACCCGCGACCCGCAAAACCCTCCCATGCTCAGTCAAAATGGGTGAATTAAATCCCGTCCATTAAAAGAGAAAAAATAAGAGGGCTAAATTTACAGGCCAGCTCGTATTTAATGTAAATGGGCAAGACTAGTTCCCTTTGGGTTGCCCGTCCCATCTCGTGTAGAGGTTCACTTAAAACATATTTTTTTAAAAAAAAAAAAACATTCCCGAACATGGCTTGTTCTATTCAAGTATTCACGCCTCCAGAGAAAGAAAACCCTCATTTGTTCCTTCATCATTCTTTTGCACTTGGCCTCTCAACTCAAATTCAACGCTCGTATCCCTTTGTTCAGTCAAAACTATCCTCTCATCGTCACTCACCAACACTCTTGTCGCTGGCATCACGATCTGAAGTTGAAGACTGAAAATGAAGCCTCGACTCAGCCCTATTTGTGACTCGTCTCCCTCTCCCTTGTGTCGCTATCCCCTTCCTTCCACTCCAGATCAAGAGTCGAGACCCAAAGAGTCGTCATTATTGCTGTCATTGTCGCAATCTCCCTCTCCCTTGCCTCTTCTTCTCTTGCCTGTAGCGTTGTCATCGTCGTTGTATGCCTCCACTACCCACAGATCTGGGTTTCCCTTTGCTCGAGCTCTCTTGAATCGACTTACAGAACTACTACTCTATACCCATTTTTCTTTGTCTATGGATTTGCTTCTTCAATAACAATGCGCAAACTGCAAATTTGTTGGCTTTTTTAACAAATTTGAAAATTTGTTAGCTGGGTTATTGATATGCAAGTTGAATTTCTCCTCCTCTTCTCGTTTCTATCATTTTTTTATATATGGTGCTCTAGTTTTGCAAATTTTGGAGGTGAAAAGGCTAGTCCAAACACTAATCTTGGGTTTAAATGGTCGTAACCTGTTTTTAAATGGTCAAAATCGGTTGTCTATGGGTACAACCCTGACCATACTCGTCTTGCTTTACACGAGTGGGCTACAGGCAGCCCCTTGAGCTAGCCTGTATTGTCACGTTGCTAAGCCCTAATATAATAAGGGGTGATGAGATCTAATATGAGAAGTTTAAATTTTAAATTTTTATTTGTAAATTTAATATAAATGGTTTAATTTAATATTAAAAAATTTATATTTTTTATAAATTATATGTACCATAGACAATACATATTTAACTATTATTTTTTATAAATTTTTATTTTCACAAATGCAATATTAAAAATTGAGATAATATCTAAAGTCTTATTTTTAAAAAATATTTTTCTTTTAATTGCAAGTCAAGAATTTTAAATTTAAAAATTTATATAATCAATTTATAAAAATTTTAATTCTGAACTTAAATAATTCAAATTAAATTTGAATTGTCCAAAATGATGATGTAGTATATTTATTAAGATTTAATAATTTTTTATTTATTTTTATTTTAATAAATATGTCATAAAAATATGACATAAAATTTTTAAATTTAAATCGTCTAAATCTCATCGGCATTGAAACTGGATCCGGGTAATCAGAGCACCCCTGCAGCACAATTCATATCACGAGATCAGAAACAAGAAAAAGAGTCCATGGAGCCCAAAATAAATGCGTTCCACTTCGAGGCCATTCTAGTAAACTGGCTGAACTCCTGTTCCCCATTCATTTTCAATCCATTTTCTTCATCAACTTCATGAAATACCAAGCCGCTGATCAAATTCAACATCATTATCAGCCATTAATCTTCAAATTGAAGCATTTTCAACGAACACGTTCTCGTGGTTTTATTTTGTTTTATTTTTTTTGCCGAGCGGGTCAAGTGTATTTTTTTTTTATTTTTGGGTACAAGTCCAGTGAGTTTACGCTTATGCTTACTCGCCCGTTAAAAAAAAAAAAAAAGCTCATGCATGTTAACGTGACAAAATGGGTTTATAACAAGATGGAATCGCTGTTCAATTCGGCCCAAAAGAAGTTAAGTACTGAAGTTGCTACTGCTCAATAAACACGTGATGAATGCCACTCCTTGCAGTTTTCACTTTTCACTTTCCACACGGCACGAGAATTTTTTTTCAGGAGGTTTGAACTTAAACCCGCACTGTTGCAGAGCATGGCATGAGTTATGGGGGAGAGCCCGAGAATGAGGAGCCTTATACGCCAACAATTCACATATATATTACACTTTAGTGGACCTGACCTCAAGCAAATGATCCCAGAAGTCAGCCACATTGACCTGAGTGCTTGAATTTCTTAAGCCCAACATTAACGGCTTCAAAACTACTTCTGTCACCAGTTTCATATTAGTTAGACACCAGAAATTACGATACGAGCGGGGAATCCACTTTCAAAATTACTACTAATCACGCCTTTGCTCTCGGCTTTTTCCCCTTTAAATAATCCCTCCCCTTCCCTTAAGCTCCAAATTCCAGAGAAAAACAAAAGTACGATGGCCTATTATCTTCCACTCTTTCTCCTTTTCTCTACTCTCTCTCTCCTCTCATCACTTGTTTCCTCCTCAGCAGTTCCACACCCTGACCTAGTCGCCCAAGACGTACACAGGTACGCATTTCATGCAAACCATATATATATATATATATATATAAACTAGTTTAACCGTTGCGCAGCTATGTACACTCTTAAATTCGATTTTGTTACAGGCGAATCAATGCGTCCAGAAGAAACCTGGGCTATTTGTCTTGCGGAACCGGGAACCCCATAGATGACTGCTGGCGTTGCGACCCGAATTGGGAGAAAAACCGGCAAAGGCTGGCCGATTGCGCCGTCGGGTTTGGTAAGGACGCCGTTGGCGGAAGAAACGGCCGAATCTACGTCGTCTCGGACTCGGGGGACGACGACCCAGTGAACCCCAGGCCAGGTACTCTCAGACACGCCGTCATACAGGAGGAGCCACTGTGGATAGTCTTCAACAGAGACATGGTGATCAATCTGAAGCAAGAGCTTGTCATGAACTCCTTCAAGACCATCGACGGAAGAGGATCCAGTGTTCATATTGCCGGCGGCGGCTGCATCACCATCCACTACGTCAACAACGTCATCATTCACGGCATTCACATCCACGACTGTAAGCCCACGGGGAATGCCGAGATCAGAGACTCTCCCACCCACTCTGGATTCTGGACGGTGTCGGACGGCGACGGCATCTCTATCTTTAACTCGAAGCACGTGTGGGTTGACCATTGTTCCTTATCTAACTGCCACGACGGGCTCATCGACGCCATCCACGGTTCAACGGCCATCACCATCTCCAACAACTACATGACCCATCACGACAAGGTGATGCTGTTGGGCCACAGTGACGAATACACGCAGGACAAGGACATGCAGGTGACTCTGGCGTTCAATCACTTCGGAGAAGGGCTCGTGCAGAGAATGCCGAGGTGCAGGCACGGGTACTTTCATGTGGTAAACAACGACTACACTCACTGGGAGATGTACGCCATTGGAGGGAGTGCAGATCCTGCCATTAACAGCGAAGGGAATAGGTTTCTCGCCCCAGATGATAGGGCTAGCAAGGAAGTGACGAAACACGAGGATGCTCCAGAGAGCCAGTGGATGGACTGGAATTGGAGATCGGAAGGTGATCTTTTCTTGAATGGGGCATTCTTCAGGCAATCTGGTGCCGCCGCTTCTTCACCCTATGCTAGAGCCTCCAGCCTCAGTGCTAGGCCGTCTTCTCTGGTTGGTTCTATCACCATCAGTGCTGGTGCACTTAACTGCAGAAAGGGCAGTCGTTGCTGATAAGCTAAGCACCGTTGAATTGCTTTCTTAGCTAAAGAATAACTCTAGGTAGGGAATCTTTATATACCCTTAAATCGCTTCCCAGCAGTTTCAATTCCTATATAGGCTTATATTTATAACAACTCAGTTTTTGCCTTGTTCGAATAGACACAGTCCTCACACACACGCATCCCCTGAGCTAAGTCGACTTCACTTCAATTTATTGTTCCAGCCTCTGTCTTTTGCCTTTTAATGGCACGAATGGGTTGCGAGTGTTGACAAACATGAATTGGAATGCATGTGAATGTTGGCTTCATTAAATTATTTGGACTCAGCCTCATATCGCTTCCTAATTAAAGAGGCTGGCTAGCTATTATTTGTTTCGTCACCGTCCCATTTTAAGACCAGCTAGATGCTTCTGATGATATGTCACGGGCTGATCCGTCTAACTGCTACTAGTGTCCTGCAGCCATGCGACCCATACAAATTGATGTCAATAACAACCTAATCTCCATCATACATAACGGAACGACAAGATTCGACACTTTTTGGTTAGTAGCATTCATCGTTGAAATGAAAGATATATACAGCACCACTACGTTGATTAAGAATAACCGATGCTCCTATGAGATAGGAAAATGGATTAGGCCTGTAGGTTGGGTTGGAAAATTTTCATGAAAAATATTTTAAATATTTTAAACTATTAAGTGATGTGATGTAACCTTCAAACTTATATAAAAATTAGATATTTCAAAAGTATTATTTATTCCTAAATTTAGAAAAAAAAAATTAGACAATTATAAAATTATTTGATAAAATATCATGTGAAAAAAAAGAGAGAAAATGACACGTTAAAAGTTGTGGAATGAATTATTGACAGGGACGACCCTGGGTTATGGACGGTAGCGCGATCTATCGTGTAAGTTATAGAGGGTAAATTTTCTTCCGTACGTGTAGAACGACCACGACATGCATAAATGACTGTATAATGATAATAATAAAAGTAAATATTATTGATTTTAATGAGTATAAAATGTGAAGAGGTTTTGTTGACATAATTGACGATATGAGTAAAAGAGCCCTCCCATTATATATGTATACAACATATGATCAAAAGCGCAGGCGGAATTTCCTGCTTCCTCAACTAGTAATGAATTCAATCAATCAATGGATTTTGAATCAACGTAGGGGCACACACACACACATATATGGGCACTCAAGCTACGCCACTTAATTAAAAGCCCAGGAGATGAGCTGTTCAGAAGGCCAGGGTAGCTACTGCGGCAGCGGCGACGGCGGCTGACAGGTGAAGAACAGCATCGGAAGAGGCGGAGCTGGCCGGAGCAGCAGCCTGGGGAGTGCTGGCGGATGGGGCGGGTGAAGGCGCGTCCATCTCGGTGGACTCGCTGCCGGGGGCCGGTGGGGATGAGATGTCGTCGCCCTCGGGGGAAGGAGCGGGAGGTGAGTCAGACGGAGAGCTGCTGCTGGGCGGAGGAGAGTCGGAGGAGGAGGAGGATGAGGAGGAAGGGGTGGGTGCTGACTTGGGGCTGCTGCTTCTGCTGCCACTGTCCTTCCCGCTGCCGGAGGACGAGGGTGCGGGAGCGGAGGTCTTGGCAGGCGACGCCTTGGGAGCGGGGGATTCCGACGGAGTAGAGGCCTGGGAGGAGGACTTGGGGGACTCCGCGGGGGAGGCGGAGGGTGATTCGCCCGCCATGGCTCCTGCCACCGCCACCAGCAACACCACAAGAACGACGAACATATCACGGCCCATTTTTTTTTTTTGGGTGGGTTGGTTTTATTTCAAAGTGAAGAGGAAGGAAATAAAAGCAGGGGAAGCAGTAGTTCTCTAATTGAAGGGAATTAGAGAAGAACCGCAAGTGAGGATTTGGTTTTGGAGGAAGACGCCATTTATAGGTTTCGAAAACCAAAAGAATGTGTGGATGACAGAAAATGTCGCTCCCATGGGTGGCCACTCACCTTCTTGGCGCCGACTCTTCCGCCTGCCCTTCTCTTCCTCTCTTCAACCCACCACCAATGCATACGTCCCAACCCAGATTTAAACCTAACTCTCCCTTTTACTCTTATTATCATCATAATAAACCATATTATTTTGAATACAGATAATTTTTCACACTCGAGCGTTTAATAATTTCGTCCCTTTTTTTTTTAAATCATGCACACTTTGCACTATAGAATAATATGGACGCTCCATATTTATTTTTCAGTGGATATATACAAAATCTAAAATCAAGATAATCTTTCGATTCTCACTTTTTTTTTTAAGACAAACAAAATCATTAATTGAAAATTATATATATAAAGCTTGACAGTTATATATGTGTGTGTGAGGAGAAAAGGAACCGGGGATTTGGATCCTCTCCGCATGTTTTCTCAATACATTTTTTAAATCCAATCACATCCATCCATTTAATTATTTATTTAATTTAATGATGTAAAATGGCTAATTATAACATTAAGATAAATATAATATTGATTTAGTTGTTATCATTAATAAGTGTGATAATCTTATTTTCAAAACATTTACTCTTTTCATTAAAAAATATAAGGTATTTTTAATTGAATTTCATTTCCCAACAAAGTGATTACCTACTTTTAAACTAATCATATCTTTTTATATTTATCTCTATTAAATACTTTATAATAAATATGAAGTCATTATCGATAAAGACACTTAAAAAAAAAGGATAATGATTACATTTCGAAAGACTAAAAATACCTTATATTTTTTAACATCTAACTCCTTAAAAAATATCTTACATTTTTTAACGGAAAGAGTAAATGATAAAAGTGAATTTAATATTATAATTAGAAATATCACATAATAACAATTAAATAAATGGATGATATTGAATATGAAGAGGTGTATTAAGAAAGTCTTTGGGAGAGGATCTAAATTCAAGTAAAGGACATCTTGTCCTTTGTTAGGAAGTATACAAATAATCGACGAAAGTAAATAGGATAAAATAATTAAAAATTATAGAAAAGTTAAAAAAAAATAATTAAAGATGACACAAGAAATTTAGTGTAGGAAAACCCCAAGTTGAGGGATAAAAAACTCATGGACAATGAGCAAGTAATTTTACTATAAAAAATAAGAATTATAATAATTATTTTTTCGATGAGGGATGAAAGGACAAGATATATATGTAGAGCTTTTCATTAGTTAAAAATATTATCTTAGATAATAATAAATATCTTCTAAAATATCAAATAAAAATATGATATATTTACACTAAGATAATATATAAAAATAATTATAAAAAATTATAAAGATTTGAGCCATAATCTCAACATCTTCAAAATTACAGTTAATTCCTGCAGTCAAGTTGTCCGTTTATACCGTTCTCGTGTCAAGCAAATGGCGGAGTCATACACCATCAAGTGTATGATCTCACTCTCTGTGGGAGCCCCGATTGATGTTGAAGTATTGAATCTTCATAAACAATAGTCTTCGTTTTTAATTACGACACGGACCACATGGTCACAGCGACACCAACTTCATTCTTTTTGAAAAATAGGTTCTTTTTCAAACTATAAAGAGACACAAGTGACAATATCAAGCCCGCAAACCTAACCCTTTTTTCATGTTTATACGTGCTTTGCTTCTAGATTCGTCTGTGGTAAAGAAAAAATAGACGTTGAGAAAAATCAAAAAGCAAAAAGCAAAAAAAATTAACCTTTCCTTTTCCCTCAACCTACCAATATTATTGGACCACACTTGTCGTAACTATACATATCAGTTACATATAGAAGGCCAGTGTCATGCTTATTAATATTGTTCAAGAATGCGGGATAGATCTAATTAGATATATAACACAAAGCAAGAAGGAAGTCCAGGCCTAAAGGACTGGGAGATTCTGGTTGTGGTCTCATGGAGGATGGTTAACATATGCAGGTGGCGGGGCTGCTTAAAACGATCGTCTGCTTCATCTTGCTCACTCAGCATCATGCACTTTCAGTGACACTGCTCCACACATCAGGCAAGAGACCCATATGCTTAGCGTTTGACTGTGAGTGCGTGTGACTTAACTTGCCCACCGAGTTAAGCTCTTCCAGCTATATAGGGACTTCTAGTACATGATGAGCAACGAACAGATGAGAGTGCAGCAGCAGGCGTCAGGCTGGTGGTCTCAGGATTATTCTCTATCTCGCAGACGAAGGCACGTCAATAATAAGTTAGAGCCCCCCTGATTGTAACTTCTTCTTCTTTCACTAACCCCACGGTTAATCCATCTGTTACCCATTTTCACAACTTCGTTGGCACCTGGGAGTGACAAGTGGTGGGTCATCTTAGGGACATGTGTATGTATATGCTAGCCACTGCACATGCATGTAATGTTCTGCATCAAGAATATATATTTTGAGTTTGAGGAAGCCTTTGCAGTTTTCTCTTCAGCCGTGTATGCGTCTGCCATTTCGGTTGGGACCAATGGCCCTGTCACCTTGCGTCGCTACAAATCAAACCATAAATATCTTCGTTAGCGGTTCTCAAATCGAATGATCAAGTTATTGCTCACACTAGCCAAGTTGATCTGTTCAATATTTCAGCAGGTGTATTGCCAGCCGAGATAGCTTGGAATCAAACTTTTTTCCCTTTTAATGTTAAAAACGTTCTCTTTAATAGTTCATGGGAATCAAACAGTAGATTGACCGACAGATACGATTTAAGTGCCGAAAGGGTGATTTGGGTACTTTGAGGCCTAATTATAGGCTCCTGACGATTTCTTCACTGAACATATATAGTTGGCCTGGTGCCAAAAGACACATGATGTATGGAGTGAGGATGCGAGGCGATGCAATTAGTACGAATTTCATGAAACAGATTATAACATATCCGTCAAAGATACCGGGCATGTTCAGTTTGGGTCTCTTTCCTCTTATTAGATTCTCACCCTCAATAATTGTGGCGTCTGGTTTGATCCCTTCCGCGTAGTGCCTTATTCCTATATATTGCCCTAGTTCCTCGCAGCGTTTGGGGTCATCCTTCAACATTGCATGAAAAGATGCTACATTTCGAGAAAATATGTTGGGGGATCATGTCACGTGCACTGTGCATACAATAAAATAGTGAACGCTATAATATAATACCACACGCTTATGATATTGCTGTAATTAAAGGATACTCTATACACGTGCGTCGGGATCTAATTGATGAAGAAGATGGCTAGCTGTTCGACATTCATCTATATGTATATATATCCATATACTCCGTTCAGTGCTTAATTAATTTAAGACAAGTTTAATCAGTAATTTCATCCTTATTAAAAATAGTAATTATGTTCTTAATATTACCACTAATGGAATTAATCACAAGTATTAGAATATTCAATTAATTAATGGTATAAATTATATGTAAGTATATAAATATAAATATCTAAAATTAAAGAACCTTTATTTTGAAAAAAAAAAAAACTTGGTTCTTCATACCACAGTGAGATTTGGGAGCTTGCCATCTTGAGCCGTCTTAGTTATTTTTTGTTGCTCTTTTTGCGATCTATTAATCGTGCAGTTTTTATTTCTTTTATAATTAAAAATCTGTGTCAACATTCTAAATTTAACGATATTACTTAAATAGCCAATGTAGACTTGTAATTTAAGAGCTAGATTATGTTCACGAGTTTAAGAAAAATTTGTATCGAGTTTATAAAAATAGTTGATTAATTTAAAAGACCTGACCATAGTTTATGTATACGTCACTTCCTAATTAATTTAAGCTCTATTATTTAAATTGTGATTTCATTATATAACTAGTAATGTTTGTTGACAACACTTTTTATATATTCAATTTTGATTAGTTTATTGTGATTTCTGAATTATGTCTGTTATATGTTATTAGGATTATAATTTAGTTTAATTTTTTTTTCTTCTTATAAATGTCCCATTAAAAGGTGAAAATAAATTCTCAAAAAAAAAAAGACAATAAAATTTAAAATTTTTCTCTCGTCGGCCAAGAGTGCAAAACCAGAAGCGGAGGGGATTCCCACGTTTAAGTTTTAACCCAATGCAATGCTCTCACTGCAATTCCCTTCCCTTGCATTCAGTCTCCCCCTTCGTTAATCTGATTATGACTCCAACCTCCAAGAATCTCACAATGCTTGCCTCAGATCCAAATTCACCGTCATTGGCAACGGCAATTGAGGCAGTTTTGCGGCTAAGCTCATCGCCTCCAATACGTTGAGGTTCATCTACTTTCATGGTACGTTCTACTTCTAATGCTATTAAATTTCACCCTCTTTCCTTTCGTTTCTGGGCAGCGCCTGCAAACTTACACCCACCTAGCACCAGCCTTGTGATCTGTGAATGACATTTTTCTTAATCGAGCCATGCACTTGAATTGAATTTGGAGTGTTTTGTTGCTTTGATAGACCTTTCTCAGTTAATAAACGTCATATCCGCGTCTCGTAGATTTCTAGATTTATCTTTCCGATGGTTTCTCTGATTGACTTAGATGAAGTGAGGATGTGGGTATTCGACGAAACACTGCCCAGTGGCGAAAAGCTCACTGATGTCATCAATGGAACCAATGTAAGGCCGATTCGTGCATCATTCATGCTGTGAATTCAATATTTCTCCCATTCATAGAATCTCGACTCTTTTTGTTGGGAAAATGTTCAATATCTTCCTGGAATTAAGCAAGGCCTAGATGTAGTTGCAGATCCGGATCTTGAAAATGCAGGCAATGATTTCTTGTTTATACGCATTTCCACAATGTCATTATATAGATAAATCACAAGACAATAGAATCAACATTTTAATACGTGGAAAGGACGTAGAAACTTCACAAACATTTACAGCTATGCACTTTTACTTTTTGTTTTTTGGTGTCAACTTGTCTGCTGTTCTGACTGGGTCGTAATGCAGTGAAGGATGCGAACATGTTAGTTTTCGTGACCCCACATTCATGGAAGGAATATGCAGGAGACCTGTTGGTGAAATTAAGACAGATGCAGAAGCTACTTCCCTTGTTAAAGGGATGGAGGTCAAGGTGAACGTCCTAGCATGATGTCTACTCTTATCTCCCAGCAGCTGGGATTCAATTGCTCTGTCTTAATGGGGGCGAACATAGCAAAGGAGGTAGTTCAAAATAATCTTTTGTTACTATGTCTTTGTGCAATGTGCTGTCACATCCCATATTATAATATCGTTTCCTGTTCTAATTAATACTGTTTGTACAGATAGGCCAAGAAAAGTTTAGTGAAGCAACCATTGGGTAGCAGACAGAATAGGGTGGCTGTAGAGACACGGGTTCAGTTGTTTAATACTCCCTATTTCAATGTAACGGCCGTAAGTGCAGCATCAATTCTGACTGATTAACGATAAAATTAATCTTGTGGAAAAGGTTATCACAAGAGATTCCAAATGAAGCTAAATCAATCAAGAAACTGCTTGCAGTAATCTGCAATACTGAGAGAAAGTAGACTGGTCAAAAATGTAAAATTAAGATTAACGAGAAACTTATACTATTATTTATGAAATACTATACTTTGTGCTCGTGAGTTTTGCATTATATGTAATAATAGGTCCAAGATGTTGAAGGGGTCGAGCTGTGTGGAACTTTTAAAAATGTCATAGCCATGGCTGCGGGCGTGTGCAACAGTATCCTGCTGTTTGTTCTTTTCAATTTTAGTGAATGACCAAGGAATGAAAACCAAATGGGACAGGTTTTGTTGATGGCTTGGAGATGGGAAATAATAAGAAAGTAAGTTTCAATGATTTCATGTTCTTAAGATTTTAAGGGGAAAAAACACAAGTATAGATAGATTTTTGTCGTGTTTTTGTTTTCCACATGCCTAGGCTGCCATCATGCGAGAAGAGATGAAGGCGTTTTCCAAGCTACTCTTTCCGTCTGTTAAGGACAGCAAGAAAGCTGTGGTGTGGCTGACCTTATCACAACATGCTGTAAGGAAGCCGTTTGACTTAATATCTCTTTTCATCGCTTATATAGGGATTTCATTTAAACCAAATCAGTCATGGCAGTGGTGGAAGAAACAGGGACGTTGCCGAGGCTTTTGCCAAGAATGGAGGGAAGAGATGGGTTTTTCACCTCTGATACAAACTATTTGTACTCAAATTGTAAATTTAGAGGCTCGGGCTCAAGATAATTTAGTCGGCTTTAAAATAATTAAAAAATATATTTATAAAATCTTAGTCACTGAGTCAAGACCGAGTCCAGACCATTGTCTCTACACTTTACCCATGATGAGAAACTACGATGGAGGGAGTGCTTCCTAAATTCAAAAAAAGTGATGATCATGAGGTTTGAATACCAAGTCAAGATCATCTATAAATGGAGGAGCACTCTCTCAACAAGAATCATCATCCGCATCAACAAATCACCAGTCAAATTTTATAATGTATTTTTATTTTATTTTTTCTTTTATCATGTAGTTTTAATCTTTATTTTTCTATCATATAGCTGGCATAGCTCACCACCTCTTTCTTTAATTAATGTATTTTTACTTTTCTGCATTTACATTAATTTTCTTGACTTTGCATTTTTACAATCGGATGAACTACGGTAAGGGAGCCTAGCTTCTCCACGTTTGATTAAAAGTCAGGTTCTTTCTTCCTTTTAAGACCCCGCGACTCTGGCATACCTCGCAACGCTCCTTTTTGTTTTTGCCAAACATAGACATACCATCTTGAGAGAGAAAAGGAACATAATCTATTTAATATTGCCTTCCTTGGCTGTTTATTTTCTGCAGGTCATCTAATGAGCTTGAAAAAGAAATGTTGCAGGGCCAGAAATTTCAGGTTAAATTATTTAGATTGACTAAAACAAAATCCTTTGATTTTGCGCATTGATCAGGAGTTCTGGTGACAATATGGTCTACAATAAGAGTAAAAATTGAACTTAGGGACCACTAGGCACTAGTTATTATATATATGCATTTATCAAGCGACCTATTGTAGGATAAAACAGTTTAAGTTCTCGTGTTTATGAGATGTTCTTCCAGGCAAAAGGATTCTGAATGATTGTTATCACCGGAAAGAATCGTAGACATGGCCACATGGGTTACCTTCATTACTTGTTATCAAATATTACACTTTCCAAAACTTGTGGATTTGTGTGATTGATTCTAGCCTTACTTGACTAATTTTCCTGCACAAAGGGGGTCTCCATTTCAAGCGATATTCACGAGGTTCTAAGCCATCGTGGATGGCTGGAATTGTTCCCCCTCTTCTCATTACCGCATGAGATTTGCTCTGGCCGCCTCCCACCATCTGCCATAGTTCAATACAGTGAGCATAAAATCCAGTTCTTCCAGATCCAAGGTTTGGGGAAGTAAAACGTCTTGTTGCAGAAATGAAATTTATCACATTTACAGATCAAAGAAAACTGAAGAGTAAATGTCTCCGGAGGGTTTGATTACTCCTGGATGCTCTTTCTTGCCAAAATCTCATGCCAAGTGAGTTTTCCTGTCCATGGTCATATACGCTGCGTACATTATCTAATTGTTTAGTGTCTCTTCCAAGGCAGCTTTGTCCATTCGGTTCTAGGTTCCTTTCTGAATTTTTTTTCCCACTGCAAGCTACACAGGCAACAGAAATACAATTTATACGGTGTTTCGTATCTAGTAACTAATTACGTGCTGTTTTTTATGCCTGCAGTCGCACGCCCTTTGAGCTCTCCAAGCAGTGAATGCATTCTCTCTCCAAACAAACCCCATCCCACGCTTGTTCAGACTCAGAGGGACTCAAATTTGAGAACTTGGTAATGGAATATCGTTTGTTCACGAGATATTAGGTCATTGTCTTCATGTGCACATGACATAAGTAGAACTTTGTTGAAACATCTGAATGAAGACAGCTTAACCTTAAAGCTGTGTCTGATTAGGGGAATTTGGGTGAGGGAAGGAAAAGATATTGCATATATGTTGTTCAAAAAGTCTACCTAAAATGCGGAAAAGAAGACAACTGTACAAGGAAAGTGATTCCAATCGTTTACCTTTTTTAAAGAGACTAATGGGTTGATGGGATTGGAATTTTACAACAAATTATTTTTATTTTTATTTTTTTAATAGAAGGTCATGTGTAAGGTACGTTAACCGACATGTTGAGTCATATCAACGTACAAAAAATTTTTATAATTAAGAGGCAGTATAAAAAATATGAACATTTAAATTATTAATAAAAACTTGATGAGTCAATCAATTCGCACATTTAAATTATTTTTATTTTAAATTTTCTTTTCATTTTTCTTTTCTTTTTTTTTTTTAAAAATTTTGGGGTTGGTCATAAGTTATAACTTGCCACAAATGTCTGTTATTGAGGGAAAAAAACAATAAATATATCCTATGGGATATATAATATATGGTATTTTTTAAAAGTCTTGCTTTGCCAAAAATATAGGACATTAAATAATTTTTATAATTTTTTAATTATATTTTTATTTCATTGTTATTCTTGTTGAAAAATAGTTGATTGAAATTTTAATTATTATTATTAATATATATATATATATATAAGATGATTAATAAGGATGTTGAAAAGATGGATAATGCTTTAAAAATTAAGGTTTTAAATACCTATTTTTAAAAAAACATGACTGTGTGTACAAAAAAAGACTATGAATTGGAGATAAATTATGACTATATTTCACGCTTCAATTGCTTCTTGTTTAGGGGGAATGGTATAATAGGGATTATAGCAAAATTTGAAGGTTATGTCATGTTTACAGGAAAATAAATAAACGCGTAGATCTTTTAACTTACTGAACATCTCATAATAATTTTGATATTATAATCTTTGACAGCCCACCCTTGACTGTAAAAACCATGTGATTTTAGATATGATTTAATTTTTGTCTCTTTGCATGATTTTTTTCTTAGCCTTGCATTAAAAAAAAATGAAAATGAAAGGTTATATTGATTAAGTTCTGATTTGAACCTAGCAGCCTAGCACAAACTTGTTGATTCCCGGCAAAGAGTTTATACAAAAATCTTATCAAGGAGACTCATCATATAGTTTTTATTAAAACAACAACAACAACAACAACAAGCCTTTATCCCACTAGGTGGGGTCGGCTACATGGATTGCAAGACGCCATTGTGCTCTATCATTTATTAAGCTTTTAGAAATATTATTAATTAAGAGATCACGTTCAACAACTTCCAAGAGTGTTCTCTTAGGCCTTCCTCTACCTCTCTTAATCGGACTCAAAGTTATATGTTCCACTCTTCTCACTGGTGCCTCCCTTGGTCTTCTTTGTACATGCCCAAACCATCTCAACCGATTTTCTACCATTTTTTCCTCAATAGGTGCCACCCTCACTTTTTCACGTATGTGCTCATTTCGAATTTTATCTTTACGTGTATGTCCGCACATCCATCGTAACATTCTCATCTCTGCTACTCCAACTTTATGCTCTTGCTGTCCCGTTAGAGCCCAGCATTCACTACTATATAACATTGCCGGTCTGATAGCAGTACGATAAAACTTTCCTTTAAGTTTATTAGGCACCTACGGTCACAAATAACTCCTTTAGCTTTTCTCCAATTAAACCACCCAGCTTGAATTCTATGTGAAATATCTCCACTGATTTCGCCATCATTTTGAATAATGGCTCCCAAATATCTAAACTTTTCCACTTGAGGTATAATTTGATCTCCCAATTTCACTTCCAAATTATTTTCGAATAGTCCTTTACCAAATTTACAATATAAATATTCCGTCTTACTTCTACTCAGACGAAAACCTTTCGACTCCAATGTCCTCCTCCATAACTCAAGTTTGCAATTAACCTCTTCTCTTGTCTCTGCTATAAGAACTATATCATCCGCAAAGAGCATACATTTCGGGATTTCCTCTTGAATATGTTCCGTCAAAACATTTAAAATCAAGTTGAACAAATAAGGACTCAGAGATGATCCCTGATGTAGTCCAATCTTTATAGGAAAATCCTTTGTTTGACCACTAGGCGTTCTTATACTAGTTTTTACCCCCTCATACATATCTTGTATGGCTTTAATATAAGCAATCCGTACTCCCTTTTTTTCCAACGCTTTCCAAAGCACTTCTCTTGGTATACGGTCATAAGCTTTTTCCAAATCAATAAAAACCATGTGTAGATCTTTATCTTTACAACGATACTTTTCCATTAATCCCCTTAGTAGATAAATCGCCTCTGTAGTTGATCTACCTGGCATAAAACCAAATTGATTCTCAGAAATACTTGTCTCCAATCTCAACCTGTGCTCAATTACTTTCTCCCACAATTTCATTGTGTGGCTCATGAGTTTAATCCCTCTATAGTTAGTACAATTCTGAATATCTCCTTTATTTTTATAAATAGGAATTAATGTACTTCTCCTCCACTCATCAGGCATTTTCTTGGACCGTAAAATCACATTAAATAACTTAGTTAACCATCTCACCCCTTCTTCACCTAAACATTTCCACGCTTCGATAGATATACAATCAGGTCCGTTAGCTCTACCATTTGCCATTTTCTTAAGAGCTTCCTTTACCTCCTTATCACGTATTTTTCGATAGAATGACAAATTTTGTTCTCCTTCACCAGTTACTAAATCCTCCAAGTTACTAGATGAATCCTCTCCATCATTGAAAAGTTTAGAAAAATAAGTCTCCCATCTATTTTTAATTTCATCATCTGTAACTAAAATTCTTCCCTCTTCATCCTTAATACACCTTACCTGTTCTAGATCTCTTGATTTTCTTTCCCTACTCTTGGCAATCTTATAAATATTTTGCTCTCCTTCCTTCGTCTCAAGGTTCTTATAAAATTCTTCAAAAGCTTTGGAACGAGCTTCACCCACAGCTCTCTTAGTTTCCTTCTTAGCCATACGGTACCTCTCCCAATTTTCCTCATTGTTACACAAATGTATGGCTTTAAAACAGTTCTTCTTATACTTGATTTTGTCCTGTACACTATTATTCCACCACCAAGACTCCTTATCTCTCGGACCAGAACCTTTCGATTCTCCCAAAACTACTTTTGCAACCTCCCGTATCTTTTTAGCCATATCCTCCCATATGATGTTAGCACTTCCCTGAGAATCCCAAATTCCTTTATCCAAAAGATTTTGCTTGAAAATATCTTGCTTCTCACCTTTTAATTGCCACCACCTAATCCTTGGTGTTACTACTTGTCGACGTTTTTGGATTTTACTCATAATACACACATCAAGGACTAGGACCCTGTGTTGTGTCGTTACAGCATCTCCAGGGATCACCTTACAATTTTTACAAAGTTTTCTATCTGTGTTCCTAACCAAAAGAAAATCAATCTGCGACCTTGAGGCTCCACTTTTGTAAGTGATGAGATGCTCATCTCTCTTCTTGAAACAAGTGTTGGCAATTTTAAAATCATATGCCAATGAGAAATCAAGAAGAGTTTGCCCTTCATTGTTTAGCTCTCCAAAACCAAAACCACCATGCACCCTCGCATACTGACCAGCTTCCCTCCCGACATGCGCATTAAAGTCTCCTCCAATAAAAATCTTTTCACTCTGTGGTATGTGTCGAATCAACCCCTCCAGATCCTCCCAAAATAATTCCTTAAGACTGGCTTCTGTCCCGACTTGCGGCGCATAAGCGCTAACAATATTAACAGTCTCACGTCCAATTATCATTTTTAAAGAAATAATTCTGTCTCCAATTCTGCTAACTTCTACAACGTTCTTCTTCCACTCCTTATCTATAATGATGCCTACTCCATTGCGTGCACTTACTTTTCCTGTATACCAAAGTTTGAAACCTTGAATATCCTTAGCTCTTTCTCCACGCCATTTTGTTTCTTGCAAGCAAAGGATATTGATTTTCCTTTGAATCATAACCCCTACAACCTCTACAGATTTACAATTTAATGTCCCAACATTCCAAGTACCAAATCTAATTTTGCTCTTATGGACTAACTTCTTTAGCCGCGTGCGTCCAGAATGACGCGGTAGCCCTTGCTCATTTAACACTACATCCGGGCGCCGATGCAGCGGCTCTAACTCACTTATCACTGTACTCGAGCCATGCAGCGCGTTACTTACGGGCAACGACCTAGCATTAACATTATAACGTCTATTGTCCATGTTCATGATAGATTCAACAAATTTTTACATTGGCTGTTGATGGCCTAACACAACCCTCCTCCTTTACCCGGGCTTGGGACCGGCTATAAACATAGGCGGAGTTTCCCAAGGACAATAGAACAGTATAATTCTCCATGAACACTTGACAGGGTGGCTGGTTTAAAGAGATGCTTGATAGCATCTTTTTTAACATTCTTGGAAGCATCTCCAAAATAGGAATTCACACACATACAAAAAAAGTAAAAGAGGGGACTAGGGCATCTCAAAGAACAATGAATCCAGCCGAAACACCAAACCCTTCCTTGAATGCCAATAGTTATTTATATCTGTCATAAAACTACACAACCAGTAGACCACTGATTTAAGGAAGAAGGAAAGGGGAAAAAAAAAAATTCCCAGAAAACCAACCCGTGCATGAACATGATATGCTTATAACAAGATTTATCCTGTCCTTATTCTGTCTAGCCGGTCAACACTTTTCCGTGCCTTTTCCAGTTGATGATCAATGCTCTTTCGAGACTTCTCGTGGCAATCTACACTTCTCCGAGACCTTTCCATGTGATCAAAAGAAATTCTTAATTTCTCTAGCTTATCGACATTGTTAGACAAGTTCTTCAGTTTTTCAGGCCTGTCTGTGCTCTGTCTAGGTTTTTCTCTGCGATCAGTGCTCTTTCTACCGATTTCAAAAAAATCTGTACTCTTCCTAGGCTGTTCAAACTGGTCCGTGCTCCTCCTAAAACTGTATCGTTGTGATGGAGATTTCTCCACAGTGGATACAAACTTCTTCAGATGCCTGATGTACTCAGGAAAGAGCTCCAAATCACAATGATTACCTCCTTTGAGCCACAGTGGTTCATACTTCTCTTTACACAGTTCCCACAGTTGCTTGCCATGGGAGCAATCTACAACTTCATCTGAAGTCCCCTACACAACAATTTGAATGCTATTATGAGTAATAGTGGCTGTTAGAATGATACTCAATCTATCATAATGCAAATAGTTGTGAATAATTTTACAAAGATAAACTTCATCCCTGCTATATTTGTCAGGTAAAGAAACAAGAGTTCCAAATTTGAATTAACAATTATCCATCATATTCAGGTCTTCAAATAATCTCACAACTAGAAGTTTGAAGCATCTCAAAATCTAATTATAGCATATATATCTCAGCTTATACATTTTCGGGCAGAAACTTATTATCAGTAATGTAACATAAGAAAAGTTTAACTGTGTAGCAAAGTATGAAAGATTGCACGCATTTTTCACAACAAATGAAAGAGCAGTTGCCAATATAGCGAATTGTTTTGGCATGATAAATCCTGTAAAATAAAGAGTCCTAGAATACTGTGCCACCAGCAGGATAATTACCATACACACATCTCGCTAATGCCATGGGGCACTCTATTCAGACCGCAAACAAGAGCAAAACGGGCTTCATAACGTATTGAGAAACTAAATTGCATATTTGCTTTCAAACAGAAACATTTTGGCTGATACAGGGTGAATATGAGCAACCGACGATGGATAGATAGTTTTCTTTCTAGTTTTGATACCTCAGACTAAAAAGACCAATACTACTCAGATTACTTTCTTGAAAAGGAAATGATTATCTCTAATTCAGTACATAAGAAAAACAGAGTGAAATTCATTAAAATGTACAGAAAGAAAAGAGTTTAGATATGGTTTGAGAGGCTTAATTGTTTTTAAGCTTGACTTAGAAAAAAAATGGCAAGGAATATTACCTATCAAAGACCAAAGTTATGAAACCTTGTAAAAAACGGGGAAATTTGGTCAATGTTTAACAAATATGGGGATAAACGTGCTCTGAAGAAAAGGCCAAAGGATCCTCTGAATTTTTTGTGAGAAAATGGTGGTTATCTTTAATAAATTCTTACCATTTAGTTAATCAGGACGGTCAATATCTGTTAAAAATATCTTATTATTTTCAATGAAAAGAAAAACTTAAATTCTCTAGACTGATTGGATGGTAATAATCTTCTCAAAATGAGTCACTTTTCTGTCTTAAATAGAGAGAATTAACTCAATGTTGGCCATATGAAATCCTAGAAACAAGATTCATTGTAATAAAATAGCATTAAATATATGGTGAATGCAAATTATTCTCAAGCTGAAGTCAATACAGTTTACAGGTGCAGTTGTATAAAATAGAAATATATTGTACAGCATACTTACATGAATAATGAGTACTGGACAATTAACTAGTGGGATTTTGTCAATATTCTGCACATGAACAGAAAGTAGTGCCAGATTAGTTGAAAAGTCTACATGCCTGTATATCAGCAATCTTTAATTAAAAAAAAAATCTAATTCTTAATCAGAAATCAAATCAGTAAATTACCTTGTATATGTCAAACCAGTAGGTACGCTTTACAGGATACATAACCCTTAAGCCAGACAATATGGGACTGTGCAGAACAACAGCTCTCAAATGAGGCAACCTAGCTGCAAGATCCAAAGTGGGGCCACTACCAACAGATTGCCCATAAAGAATTATATCTTCCTGCTTGGTGCCATAGCTTTCTTCTAGACACTTGTATGCAGCTTCAATATCGGCATATGTATTCTGCTCGCTCGGCTGCAGATAAGGAGAGCTATTTCTTCAGATGATTTTTTTAGCTCTATGACCACTTTAATGCATGACACCACTATTTACACCAATAACAATGATATTATATTCCTACAAACCTTTCCTGACGATTGGCCGTACCCAGAATAGTCATACCTACACAAAATTAGAGCGTGACTGAGAAAAATTGCTGCAGTACACTTCATCATCCTTGTTGAGTACAGTTGAGAATATTGTCTCCATAACCATTATAGATAAAAATAAAATACATGCACTTCGAGAAATTTTCTCCACAAATTCAGTCACTGAATTAGACCAATTTCAGCAAGTGATAACAGGAAGATATAGATTGAACTTCAAGATTGGTATGTTAATGGTCTTGCTGTTCTGAAGTCATGATGTTGACGTGCACAAAAAAAAAGATGTAGTGACTCATCAGCAGAATTACGGAGATTAAGATGAAAGATACACCAAACATGCCGCCAGTGCATCTGTGTATACGTGCAATGGGATTGTACGCTTGAGAGAGAGAGGGATGTTAACCAGTATTGAAAACCCTCAGAACAATATGAATTCCAAGTCCAAGATATTAAACAATCCATTACGAATAAATCACCTCAGTTATGTATGTTGATCACAAATTTCAGACCTTCTAAAGAAGCATTTGATGCTAAAGAATATCACACTGAAATTGCAGCTGATACCAGAGAAACCCCAGTTTTGAGTTTATTATGAATCCCGTATAACGATTACGTAGTCTTTATTTCTTAGGATTCCAAATTACCTACGATTTTCCCCAACTAAGCAAATGAAAAACCTTCCACGCAGACGGAATCCCAGAATCCAAATGATCAGGATATAGGAAGTAAAAATGCCAAATTTCGACAAGCCATAATCCAAAACTGGCACAGGAATGAGAACGAAGCACCAAATACAAAAGCAGTAAATAGCAGAGACAGAAGTAAAGCAGTAGAGAGAGAAGTGAAACAGAGTACCCCATGAGATTGACGCGCAAATGGATGCTTAGCTCGATGAAGAGCTCGTACATCTGGCCTAGATCGGCAGCATTACCGTGAGAGTAGAGCAAGGTAGAGGTAGCCATAGGATGCCGAATGTAGACAGCGACAATCTCAGTGCCACGACGAGTGGGCAACTTGAGAATTTCAATGTTCTCGCGGTGAGGAAAGGGACTGAGAAGCAAAAGGCCGGTGAAGTCGTCGGTGACTAATTTATAGGAAGGTGGGTTCGGCGGGAAGAAGGCGAACTTAGCCGCCATAGAAGAAGTTACCCCACCCATGAGTCTCTCCCTCTTTCACTTTCTCTCCTGTGTTGGTCTTCGTCGTCCTGAATTCCCACGCTGAAGTAATTCAGATCCACGACATTCCTTCCTAACCTTTTTTTTTTTTTAATTTCTCTTTTCTTTTTCTCTTTCCAGAAGATGAAACTTTTTGGAAATGGAAAGAGAAGAGCGATAGTGAAAGGAGCTTCTTTCTCCGGTGTGGCGGCAAATGTGAGAGAGAAGAGAGCGTGAGTGATGGCTGGCCTCGCCTCGCCTCGCCTCGCTTTGAGCTTTGCTTTAAGTTGGGCCAGTGAGGTCAATGGACTTCATTCCACATCATTTTGTCATTGTGCTCGCATTTCGCTTCTTCCTCCCCACTTCCCTGTCATCCATCAACGCATGGCGATGCATCTTCCTGTTCCCCATCTCCATGGGATTTTGCTTCTATTTCACCTTTTTTGCATATATTTATTATATTCACTTATTTTTTAATTAAAATTTTATATTCCCTTCTTTGTTAAAATAAAATAATATGCTTAATAATACTGATACTGTTTTACTCAATTTATTTTTCGTTTGTTATTCTTGTAATATAAAAATATTAATTGTATATTTAACTTATTAAATAGTTATTTTTTGAATTTATAATTTCAGGATCAAGGGACAAAAAATACTTTTTCCTATTCATTAGACGTTTTAGTGTTGTAATTTTTTTACTTTATTTTTAATAAAGTTTAATTGTTATTCATAAAAAAGAGTCTGAAAAATTATGTGCATGAAAGTTGGAGTAAATAGTTGCAAAATGAGTGTTTTTTTTTTTTTGGCTATCATAGTAGTTAAAAAAAGGAAAAGGAAACAAAAAAAAAAAAACAAGGAAAAGGAGATCAATCAAACTTTTATAAAATATATACACGCACAGTCGAGAGCGTGGGGTTCAATGATGACATTTAAAACTATGTCACTAACAATCTGACTCATCTTAGAAAGCTGCAAGAGCAAATAGCTTTACTATACTAATTATCTACTTCTCTTGAGAAAACTTGCTTTCCCTTCACTCTCAGTTATAGTTCATTCAATCACAAACTCATGCTCTAAAAATGCATTAATTTAAATTTTCAAATACCATATAGATAAAATAAGAAATATGAGATATATAATTTAAGAGACATATATTGTTTGGTGTTAGAATAAGAGGGAATAAAAGATAGCGTGAATCAGACACCTCAGTGATAGGGCCATGAAGCAATTAGCAAGGAACAGACAATTGAAGGGGCAGAGATGGTGAGATGTGAATGGAATGTCCCTGTTGGTTTCTCCATCTTGATGGAATTATCTTTTTTTTTAATTCTGGGAGTAATCAATCTTGGCCACAGGTTTAGATTCATGTGCTCTTTAACTGTTCTTGAATGATTTAGCAAAAGTTTAATAGTTGACATTGCAAACTTTAATCCAATTCTCTCCAGACAGCTGGAATTATGGAACCGAGGCCAACTTTTGTATCCCACCTTCAAACAACCATCATCATCTCCCTTCTTCCTCTGTTTTGAGGCTTCCCAAACAAACTATCAGATTCCTCCCTCCAATGTAAATCTCTCTCTCTCCCTCTCCCTCTCTGTTACTGTTCTTTTACTTAAACGCCAATTACCCCCTTAATCAAGCAACCAAACAGTTTAATCCTATCCTTGCATTTAATGATCAATCTAATCCTATGCAGGTGCGTCTCACCTTAATATCTGTATACGCAAGTATTTTTTGCCCAATACTTGTTGCCCGTCACAGGGTCATGGAAAACATCACACAGTCATACGAACATAGTTTTTTAATATGGGACACATTTAAAAGATACAGGCACTGCGTTGTTTTCTTCAGGACAACTAGTGAAGTCACAGGGAAATTATAATGGCAATTGCCAAGTGCTTCTTTTGCCTCATGAAGCATCGCTATAATTAATCTTTGTAATTGTAAGTGGAATGTAGCGATATGTTCTTCGATCGAATTGGGTCACACCCCAAATTCACGTGGAGCTGCCACCTCCTTGAAACCCCCGAAAAAATTAACTACATAGAACTAGCAATTGTACTCTGGTAACATACAGACACGTGAACATGAGCATGGAAAAACCAGACAAAAAAAACAACCAGAAATAACGACGCAAATCCCCATGAAATCATCCCAATGCCTCATCTCTGGGATCCCCAGACAGGCTTCACCAAAAGCTTCAAAACAAGTTAGATGCAGCATTTGACAGATGGGACCATATGGTCAAAATTACCCATATCAATTCCTAAATAGACAAACGTCATCAGTAGGTTCCCCCCAAAAAAATAAAAACTGTATAAATTCTGTAAATCATGATATCAGTAGTGGGCCCAAGATTTCCGGAGTAAGCTTGGAATTAGGTCACAAGACAAGCACTAATCTCACTGGTAAGAAAAGGACCACATAACAGACATAATCTACTCAGGTGCATAACTAGAATTGAAGGCGAATGAAAGGGTCTTTGTTTGTGTTGTGGGTCCACCTGCAATATAATAGGCAAAGCAAAGATAATGATGGGCTGGTCTGCACTCACCTTAGCCCTATCTGCCGGTCGTTGTGATGGGAAGACGAGACATGTCTCGTGTCTGCAGCAATATTTCCTGATTTATAATGCCTGGCCTTACTCATCTCTACAGTTCAGATTTGGATTCTATGACTGGCAAAGACTACGATTGAGTCTTAATACGCATAATCAGTAATGACTGCTGAAAGAGCACAATCAGTTCCAAGACAAACCAGTGAGAATATTTAAATTTTCTCATTATTAGCTTTTGATTGATGATGCATCATGCAAGTGCTTCTAAGCAGAACCTGTATGGCGGCAGGCAGTGTAGGAAGCATTGGTAAGAAAATAACCAGAACCCAACTAAAGAACAAATATAGGGAAACAGTAGGTAGCATGGCGCATTGCAGTGAAGATAAGCTTGAAGCAGATCTAAATTGAAATGGTCAATCCCAAGAGAACGAGTCTGCTTCATCAAGAACTGAGATACCCCAAGTGCTGATGAAATGGGCGACGGCATGCATTGAGACAAATCCAGGATGGGGTCGTATAGCAGTTGGATTATCCTCGTCTGACATGAATTAATGACGCATCTACTAAGCCCAAATCTTCCAGGTGTACTAAGACTGGATGTCACTCACGGCACAGGATATAAGAAGGAATGCATATCTTAACTGGGATAACCTATGATGCAGTAGAATCAGTGAAAAGTGAAAAGCATACCACAAAATCAACCAGAGATTTTCAGACGCCAAGCGGTACACATGGAAGTCCAGATTCATGTAACAAAGAACTCATCTACTGATCTATCCTCCCCATGAAAATGATGAAGACTAGCAGATACTTTTTGAATGTTACAAGACAAACATGAATTCAGAAGAATCATGCAGAAAACCGTGATTAATAACCTCGAATTCAAGCAGATTAAGTGCCTGCTAAGTTAGTTTCCCAGGAAATTCTAATAGGAGAGAGATCTATACAGATCTAAAATGTCAAGAGTCAAAGGTAAATTCCAAGCATATACATGTAGTTGGGGGAATTAGTTCATGAGAATTAGGTACTGTTCAAAGGTTTTAAAAAGACTTATAGACATAAGTCTAAACTTCATATGGTTTCCAAATTTAAACCTTTCAACTTAATTGCATCTGAGAAATACTTTTTTTTTAAATACAATAACAGCATAATAGGAAGAAATTACATCAAAATCAAGACTCATTAGAAATCGGCACCCTATCAGTGGATCATCAAAAATCAAAACATCGATATTATCGTTTAAAGCTTGATGAGCATGCCAATCCACATAATTGTTGGAGTTGGATTTTCTAAACACATGGTTGAAGGTGATAACTTAATCTTTCATGGCGAGGCATCTGATCTTATTTATGGTTTCATTAAGAGGATGACTCGGGTTATGGTAATGCTGAATAAGCATAAGAGCTTTAAGGGAGTCCGAGAAATACTTTATATGTGCAACTATCCACAAAGAATAGCAATAGAATTTGAGAATATGAATATTTTACTAATTAAGAGCACTTGCTAGGAAGAAACAGCACTATGAGCTCAAATGAGATCTTCCCCAAATGTTTTTAAATTTTAAAGCAATAGAAAACTGGATCAAATTATTAGATTGTTGATAACAATTCAATAGAATACCAAATACATATATAACAACTCACTATTGTCCAGACATGAAAACTTCCTCATACTATGACTGTTGAACAAGACTCTTTTGTGAATAGTTGCACTGATAAAAGTACAGGACTAGAACATAAAAATCTGATAGATAAGCTCATGTAGAAAAATCTGCAAAATAAGTCCCTGGCACTTTAATTATATCCTCATCCTTGTTAGCTTGATTGATTCATGCATCATAGATTAATGCTTATCCCTAAGACATAAGATAACTCCTGTCGAAAGCCTGGGGTCACGGTTGTAAAGGGACAAGTTTCCCTCAGTCATACCAGTGTTCCAATCAGTAGGCTAAACATGGGGATTTCAAATGCCTAATCTCATCTTATAATTATTGCGCATGAAAAATGCCATCCAACACACTAGTTACTGGCAAATGTATACATAGCAGTTTGAAACTCAAAGAGCACAAAATTCTAGGACTATACAAGCTCACAGTTATGCAAAATCAATAAAACACGCAATGCAGATATAATTAGAGGCCAGTTGATAGTATGTCGTCCGTGAAGCTGGGGTATCACAAAGGGAAAAGAAGACCAAAAATGTTATTGATGAAAACTGCAATATTATTGATTGATGCCAATCACATGACAGGAGGCAACTCTTTGCAAAATAAAGGATCACTCCCCACAGCGTGTAGAAGCACACAAGAGCACGTATAATCGCTGAGCGAAACCGTACGTCCTTGACTACTCACATCTTATAACGCCCATGTGAGGGTGATGTGCGTAACAAAAACACACAGAATTGAAAATAACAGGACGAAACAGAACATTAACAACAACGCGTGGAAGATTGTCTTTTGATCATCATATGGTAGGAGGAGACACGGCGCTGACAATGAACGCCTCATTAGCATTTTCATCATGGCAACACTGGAAGGTTGTAAGAACGTTCATGTGACGCTGACACTCAGGGCACCTCAGCCTCTCTGGAATTCTTCCCATTGCATGAGAAAATTCAAATCTGCAGCACGGATTCTCCACTGCATGAAGCTTCCTGTAATGCTCCCCAAAAGCACTATCGAACCCATCCTTCTCCGCTTTCTGTTGCCACATAGTGTCGTACTCCATCAAGGTCTGCAACCCCGTATTGGCATGCCCATTCACCACAATGTGAGAGCCTTTTGCTAGAATGACCCAACCCCCCAATTTGTCATAGCTCAGGAGCCTCTTGATTTCTTGCATCACCACGTCATGATCATCGGCTTGTTGAAGCTGAATCTTGGAGAACAGCATGCTTTCGAGTCGAGTCCAGAAGAACCACACCATGCTCAGGTCTTGCCAACTATGAGTGTTGAGCTTGTCCTGCACTATGTTGTCCAGCACTCGCCGCACCTGATCCTTCTTCGTGCTCTTCCCTACGTACACCATCTCCAAGGGTATGCGCGCTGCCAGTGCTACTCTCCTTGCTTCCCTTACGAAGTTCCTCACCCAAACGTAGTCATCTCCTCCGTACATGAATATGAACTTCCCATCCTTCATCTGTTTAGTATTGTAGAGATGGCGGCTTAGGTTTAGAGATATTCAAATCCATGAACGTGTATATGATCTGTGTTTGTACATGCTTACCCAGTTGAGTATTTCGGTGTCAATGCCGTCGACAACGAGCTCCAAACGCCAAGTCTCTTCCCTCCAGAGGGCTTCCTCTTTTAAGCTCGTGAAAGGGAAGGCGCTGCTTCCCCAAATCCACATCATGTGGATAGCGTTAGGGCAGGCTACCTTGCCTTGAGGATCCAAGACTACGAGGATTGGCTTGTTCTTGTACTTCCATTCGTTTCGGACAAACATAAGCACTGCCTTGCTTATCAATGAAGGATGATACACAGAGTACCATGGCATCGTTTCTCTCAGGTTCTCGAACTGCGTTTGCTGTTGTTCTGTCAGTTGATCGTTGATGAGGCGATCCACAACTGGGATCCACACCAACTCATACCTGTTCTCCAGTTTTGTTGCGTGCGCCCTCGATTCATTGTAGATCTGTTCCAAGATTAGCAGCTCCTCGTGGGAGAAATCTAGACCCGAAATTAGCAACAACACATTCTTCCTCCTCAGCACTTCAAGCCCAACCTGTTTTATTTCCATTTCACGAATGCGTGATTACTATGATTCCTGACTAATATAATATAGTAGGATATACAGATAATAATATTTTGTATGTTATGATCAAACCCTTTTCTTAGAAGCACCGTCATAGAGAGGGAGTAGATCATCCCTAGCATATATCAGAGCCTTCAGAACCCTCATGTTGTCTATGTGGATCATCTTGAAGAGCTCGCACAACATTTCATAGGCTTCAGCATCCATCTTTTTCTCTGCATTTAACATTGATTTTATGTCATGGAATTAACGTACAGCATACTGGGACACATGCTATATGTATTATTATGCTCCCACATGACATAATGAACTGGCTTTACCAATGTATTTGTAGCAGATATCCAGGTGCTTCCTTAGATGCTCAAGGATGGTTTTGAGTTTGTGAGCCAATGTGGATAGCTCCCAAGCCTCTGTCGTTGACAGCATGAATCTGAAACCAGTGATGAGTATATTCTTTCAAGTTTCATATGTGTGTATGTATATATATAATCATTAGCAGATATCATAAATGATAGGAACAGCATACTCATAGCCCAGAGTAGTGAGGCTTGTAATCTGATTGCTGCAAGCAATAATGCCCCTAACGCTCCAGTAGCAAGCAATGGGTATGTGGGCAGAGGCAGTGGTGTAGCTTGACACATCCGGGGTAATGTATGTCCGAGGTAGGTCATTGAACTCAATGACACATCTTGTGACCTCCAATATGACCTTTACAAGATCATTAAGTACATCAAACCTTGCTTTCAATGGGCCAGCATGTTCCATGATGCCGGGAAGTTGCTTCAGGATAGCCATTGATTTGGCCAGAGAGTTTGTAGAATGAATATGGGCAAGAAGCCAAAATTCTCCATAAGTGAGGGCAAAAGCAGCTAAGATGAGCACTAACTTCACATCCCACTTGAAGTTTGTAAGCATGTCAAATATTGCCACAGTTGTGGTGTGTGCATCGACGCCACTGAGAGCCTTGTAGGACATCTGAGATTTTAGTCATCATCACATGCTTCTCAATAACTGAATAATTGAAAAGTACATCGAGAGAGAGAGAGAGAGAGAGAGAGAGAGCTTTTGGATTCAAATTATTGCTCACCTCGCAGGAAATACGATCAATCCTGTAGGCTAGGCTCTCTATTATGGTGAAGTAGCTTGAAGGGTGGTCTCTGTCATCAACATGATCAACAGTTCCCAGGGCACCCTGCAGGAAAGGAAAATTAGAGAGGGAGAGGCAGGCACAAGCCAACTGAAGAAGCAACTGTAAATGGGCAATTAAAGCATCGTACCACTGAAACTCCTTCAGAACTCAAGGTGGCCTGTCTAAGAATGTCCTCAACAAGTCGGAGAAGTGGCTTGACATCATGCTCTAGTCCATCAGGATTGTGTTCTGCCACTATTTTCTTGACAAGAATGTTGTCGTCCGACAAAGTGGGCACGTTCTTGTCAGTTTTCATCAGTTGTTGCATTGAATTCAACTTTGCAAAGCTAGCCAAGGCCATAGTGAGCAACAGTGGAAGCTAAATGCAGACAAAGGACTCGAGGTTTTGAGACAAGGAAGAGAAAACAGATTGTGTTTTGCTCCCATGTAGTAGAAGGCCATTATATAACCCCCAGAAAGGAATAAAGCCTGGATGAATCTACTTCCTTGCTTTCGCGATAATTAAGTCTTTGGAACGTTTAAGAGTAAGCTAATCCTTGGCATCTTCCAGCCTTCTGTCCCCACTTCTTCACTTTAGTACAGTACAAGTGTGTAAATCTGTACCTTGTCCACAGTACTGCAGTAGCCAAAACAACTAAAAAACAATGGTAAATTCTGATCAGAGCTCGAGTGTTATATAAGTAGAGTAATAGCCCGATATAGTATCTCCACATGTAAACCTGTGCAGCAACTTAGGTGTGGTGAGTGGCCCAAAAAGAGAGTATATACAGATACGGGTTAACCCATTTATCTTTGATGAAGTATCACAGTATTCACTGTATACGTTACAGCCTGCATATTCAAATCATGTTGGCCAATGGGAAACTTGACGAAGATCTTTGGTATGGTCTGCTTCTTTACTTGATTCCATTTTCTCCTTGCAAACTCAGTTGGGTATATTTTATGCCTCAATTAATCAAAAAGACCGGCGAGAGATTTGATGCCTTGCTCTTTTTTATTGTCTTTTAATATTCTACTGGACAAGAAGCGATTGACTAACCATATTGATTTGACGTTTTGTTCGCTCGGAACGCCCAGAATGGCTATTAAATTACCTTGTCGTGCTTTATGGTCTTGTATATATATAACCAAAATCACGTGTTATTAAACCTGATTAACGTGGCTTGAGGGAGATCTTAAGCCCATAAAATCCATGAACAAATTCTCATAACAATCTAGTTGAAATTGAAAATATTTATCAGAGAATAGTAAGTACGTTGTCGGTAAGTCCCGTTTAGTACGATTAGGAAGCTTGGGTTATATTATGGTGATTCCCATTCTTAAACCCGCTGCCTAGCATTCGTAATTAGAGTTAACCCGACAGTTTAATTGGTGCCAAAATTTGTTTCCAGTGATTTACGACTGTCTGTAATCTTTAGTTCAAATTGCATCTTACTATATTGTTAAAGCACTTAATAGCACACCTTTTTTTTTTTTTAAATTACACTCCTGTTTTTAATCTCCTTTCACCCAGTGATTTCAACAACTTTATAACTTGTATCGGTGCTTTGTTCTATGTTAAATTAAAGTTTCAGGTTTAAAGAAGTGGAATGTGAAATAATTCAGTTACAAAGCCAAAATCCCTAGGCTAGTTTCATAAATATCTGCACGAATTCAAATTTTAAGAAATAGAATTGAATGTAATGTAAAGTTTACAATTCGATTCGGGGGGGCGTGTTTTTCGTTCAAATTGAATAGGAAAAGCAGTTTGCAAAGGCTCATCGATAAAGCAGCATGGGTGTTACTGTTAGGAAACAAAGGCAGCAAAAGATCAAACCACAGCAATATTCTCAATAACAAAAATCGTTAGAAATTACAAGAGACTAACTCATGAGATTAAAAGAAACAAAAATTAAAAAAACAAAAATGGTCAGAAATTACAGTAATATTCGAAGGTAACATTGCATCAAATTAAAACAAAAAAGAAAACGACTCAACCGAAAACTCTCAAACATGTGGACGATGAAGATCGACATTGGAGAAGACGGAAGGCAGTAACATTGCCATTGGACAATGTTAAGGGGGGATTTCATTGTTGGCGTAAGAGAGAACATATTGGATCCACAGCCTTTAGCACTCGGCGCTTGAGGTCTAACAACCCGATGCCATTCGTTGTTTAGCCCTAGACGTTGAGTGTGTTGTGTTCAAAGTTCACTCACATTTTTTTTCCCCTCTCTTTTCTGGATTTAGATCCGCTAAGTAGTTTAAGTTTATTCATTCAGTAAATATTTCATATAATATAATAATAATTGTCCATTTAATCGATTGTTAAAAATTTTATCATATAATATTTATAAAGTATCAAAATTTCAAAATTTTGAAGAGGATAGGATATGTAAGGATTGTTAATTTTAATTTTTTTAAGAGAAATATGTATTTTAATAATTTTTAAATATGGGTAAAATTCAATAGTTAAAATTAAAATACTTACCGAGTAAGTTAATAAATATATGTAGGCCAGAATACAAATCTACATTTTCTTTTAATTTTGTGAACACTGCACATTCGCGTATGTGATCTTGTCTTTTACCCATTTTTGAAGTCTTCTATATCTTTTGCCAAAAACAATCCTATGTAAGAAGATAAATTAATCAGGAAAAAAAAACCTGTTTAAAGTATCAGAGCATGTCAATAAACAGCCGAGTTATTTAATTTTAATGAAACAACAAAGCCCATGACTGAAAACCAAAAAAAAAAAAAAAAGATTGGGCGAGAGTGCGAAACCCACAAAGGACCCAATCTGTTCAACTAAATCTCATATCCCTAACCAACTGTAAGTCTATAGCTGCGGAATGCAGCCAAACGTGGCCTTGACCAAGACGCTCAGCAGCGGGCCTCTCCGCCTCAACGGCCTCACCATTTCCCAACAACTCTTTCCACCGTCACCATCACCACCGCTCAGCCAATCGCCACTGTCACGCTCTGGTAACTTGGGCAGCGGCGCCGGTTCTCTTCGACCCTGCCTCATCTTCATGTCGCTCAGATCCATTTCAACGGGAAACTTGAGGATCCCAAACAGACCGTTACGATGCTTGGGGCAACTGGCACTCCTTGGGCACCGCTTTTCCCTCGTCAACGATTTAACAAGAGAACGCGAACTCGGAACGAGCAAATTACTTGCTTCCTGGGGTGGATTGGGTTCCGATTGAAGATGCATGACCCTGCCGCAGAAAACGATGTCGTTTGGAAGGGCGGAACTGTTACTGAGATTGGAAATTAGAGTGGGGAACTCGAAGTCGGAGTGATCGGCGTACATATCTGAATCACTGGGTCGAAGTCCAACGCATCGGAAAATTGTAATTGGTGAAGGATGATGAGCAGGGCTGTATGGGACGGTATAATATATACACACACACAACAACGTCTTGACTGAATAAGAAGGAAGACAAACCGTTCCCAGATGATTGAATAGTAAAGGGCTTCTAGAACAGAGCGTCTAGAGAACCAAACTGGGTCACCAAGGATATTTATTTAATATATACACAGTAAATATATGATGATTCCTGGAAGTTTAGCAGTAAATTTCCACATTCTAGAAAGACTTGGCTTTGCACCCTGAGCAAAACGCGCCTCCGCAGCTCGCTGAATTTTGAGAGAGATTTGGACCGTTCATATAAACGTAAATGATCCAACTTGAATGTTTTAAATTTTATTTTTATTTTATATTTATTAAAATAAAAAATTTATTAAAAAAATTAATAAATTTTATGACCAACCTAAACAACAGCTTTAATATAAATAATTTAAATTTAATATTAAAATTTTTATAATTTTTATAAATTAATTATTTAAATATACTCTAGTCAGTGTAGGTTTAATATTAAAATTTTTATAATTTTTATAAAATTTTAATTTTAAATTCAAATTATTTATATTAAAGCTAAACTGTCCAACCTGATAATTAAATTTATTAATTTTTTTATAAATTTAAATCATCCATATTAAACATGAACTATTCAGATTGATTATTAGATTTATTGAAAAATTTTATAAATATAGACTATTCATATTAAATTTAAAATGATCAAACTGGTGATCAGATTTATTAAATTTTTTATAATTTTTTATTTTAATAATATAAAATTGAAATATTAAATTTAACTCTTCATATTTATATGGACGATTCAGATTTTTCTTAAAATTCAGCGAAGCTGCAGAGGCGCGTTTGCTCAGAGTAAAGCCAAGTCCGTTCTAGAAAGGAAGAACGGCTCTTCTCCGCCCTCATTTTCCTTTCCATTCTGCGAGGTTGGGTGTGTCACCACCAAGGGCATGGGCGTTTCAATTTGATCCGCCAGGTTTCGCCCGTGAAATCAAAACACCCCTATTGATGTTTATTGGAGTCTGGGAAACACATTGAATCATTCATTGCTGGAAGGAGATTAATCAAAATTAAATTAGATTTGCTCACTACCATTATACGGAGGTAATTTTATGACAAGAACAACCCAACTTTTGAGTATCATAGTGATTTATGCAAGGGACAAATATTTTTTATTAGTTTTCTCCCAATATAATTTCATAGCCTTCTATACTAAAAAAAAAAAAAAGTTCCGTGATATGAAAAATCATGGAGTCATATTCCAAATAATTATAATCAACGGTGTCTCTAGTTGTCACCGCATTCGCCTAAATTTAACACGCAGCTGTGATTGAAATACACGTGTCAATATTTTTTCGGACTATAAGTATGACAGCACATAATCACATGGCCTTTAAGCCATTTTTGTGTCTGAACGATCAATTCGTTTCTGCATTAGCTGATGGCTGGTGTTGCCTTTGAAAGTAAACAAACAAACAACCATTTTAAAACAAAGTCAATAATTTGAACTGAACTTGACGGGTCGGCTCGAACTCATCCAAAAAATTTAAGGTCAAATTTAAAAAAAAAAGTTAATTTTTTATTGTTCAGGAATACCTGAATAAAAAATAAATTTTAAAAAATATATAAAATATAATAAATATTAATTAGTTTTTCAAGTTTTATATCATTTCATACCAAAATATTATATATATGAGTGTTTTAATATAGTTATTTTTTAAAAAAAATAAAAATAGTTATATTTCATATTTTTATTAATTCTAATCAATAAAATATCTCAAAATAATATTTAAAATATATTTTTAATATTAATTTTTATATTTTAAGACTCAATTTTTTTCAAAAAAAATTGAGTCCTATAAATCATTTGTATATAAAAAATAATTTTATATTTTTTATAAATTAAGATAATTAATTTTAAATTAAAAATAAAATTAAAAAAATTTAAAAAATAAAATTTAGGCATATATAAATTTCTGATATTACTACTAGATAAACATAATAAATAGAATAATATTTTTAAATAATTACTTGATTATTGTCTATGCTAGACTTGGTTAAAAATTAAGAGTAAACTAGAGCAAGAATCACTTATATGTAAGAGTTAAACAATATAAAAAATTAAAGAAAAATGATTTCAAAAAAAATACTATTTTACTCATAATTAAATAATTTTTTTTATATTATATAATGATGGCAATTTTTTATATTCATAAAAATAAAAAGTATAATTTATCTAAAAGTTATTAAAAACTTTGAACTAATCAGGATAATAATTTTAAGTTAATAGTCTAACTATAATTGAATTGAGATCAACTTAATCATAATTAAAATAATATAATATAATTAAAATATATAAATTATTTATATATGATTATGATAAGAAAATATTTAAACAATTAAAAAATTAATTTAAAAGTAAAGGAAATATTCATAAATAAATTATACATAATACAATAAAATAATAACAAAGCTACTTAAGTATAAAGTTAATAAATTATTTTTATTTTATTATTTTAAAATTAAGATAATATTTTACGCTTAATAGAATTATTTAAAAATTAAAATTGGTTCAAAAAATAAAGAAAAAATATTTTTAAAAAATTTTGAGTATTCAGATTAACCCGAATAAGCTTGAAATCCGAAAGTATTAGAACCAAGCTTGACTATATGGATTTTTAGAAGGAATGAGATATGTTAAACCCAATCCGAATAAACCCAACTCGAATAAACTCACCCCTCCTGAATTACTGACCCTACTTCAAAGTAAGGAGAAAACAAATTAACATAATACGATATTGAAGTGTTACAAGTTTGCTACACATTCAAGAAACTGACAGACTCTGCATTCCTCAAATAGCCAGTTACAATTCATAATGCCCAATATTAAATGCAAAATGCCCTTTTTTTGGGCAAAATAAATTGCCCATTTTCACTGGCCCAAACTTGATTAAAAACCATTTCAAACTCGACCTTCTCTCCGGGCTCCGACAACTTCCTTGAGCAGGATCAGTAGTATGACAGTAAAAAATAAAGGTGACATAATTACAAAATGTTCAGTTGATGCGAACCTGATATCATAAAATTATCACATGATAACAGCTTGTCCGAACATAATCGCAAGGAAATCAAATGAAGGTGAGAAAACAAATTGTTTAATTACATCCAATAATATGCATCGTAAAGCGACATATAAAGACTTGGAACGATTTCATCGATTGCCGACGGGTTAAATCTAAATGTCACATTTTTTAATGTCATAAGAGGGCGCATCACTGCATTGGAAGTGAAGAATCCAGGGGTCGCTTCTTCGGCTCGTCAAGAAGTTTTTGAAATGCCATCGGTGGACCCAAAGTTTTGATTCTCTGGCAACAGACATGGTGGATGGAAAGAAGGAATAAAGAATGCAATTCCGAGACACAGTATCGCCAGTACCACGACCCACCAAGCTTGGTGGGGCATGCCCAATAATAGCTCATCACAAACTGTCATATCATGCCAAAGGGGAAAAAATTAGACCCGGTAAGCGATGTCTGACGCTAAAATGAGATGCATTTCGAATCCATAATATTTAACTCAATGAAAAGTGGCCAAAATGTGCGTCAAAAATAGAACTGGAAAGGAAAAACATTTCAACTGAATTTAAAAGGGAACATAACAAGAATAACGAAGAATGTGAATCTCTGAATCGGAAAACAATAGTGCCATGTACCATGCTAAATTACCTATATTGAAGATAATGGATGGCCTATCAGGTACATGCGGCATCGCGACAAACCCCTCTGGCTCCACAGTTACCAACACTCGCGTTTTATCCTGATTAATGTCAATGCTTTCAGAACATAACATAACAGAAGTCATCTAAAGCAATCACAGCTTCGTTTAAGTGACATATCCAACCAGATTGCTCTCGGTCTTAAAAATTAGCTTTTCAGTGTTGAGCAATCTTCTGTTATTGTTCCGCACCATATCTTTATCCAGTTGTATGGAAAAGCCGGCAGGTATCTGATATTTTAGTTAGTGTGTATCAGTCTCCAGAGAAGGATCCGCAGCAAACAACTGACAAAAACACATTATACATACAGAAGCAGGATATGATATCTTCACTTCATACCATGTTTGGGGCTTCAGATCTCCTAGTTCATAAAGGCGAGAGCCACCATTTAAAGGCAGACTCTCTCTCCAGAGTTCTTCCCCAACTCTCAAAATTTTGTTCTCATCCCTAGGAAAATGAGCAGTTGAAATCTATATCTGAGTGACAGTTTAAATAGAAAAAACTACTGATTTACAGGGGAAAAGACAATTAAACATAGCTGAGGGATTTTTTTCCCTATACTGACACATTCCCAAAGCAGAGGGTCGGGACCTTGATCATGATGTGGAGGATGCAAAACAAAGTAAGCAAACTGTGTGTGTGAATTTGATGCATTGGCAATGAAGGTAACTCCCAAATAATTGGACCTAAAAACAACAAATATGTCTTTTTAGTACGAATACTTACCATTTAAAAGGGTCTAGAATTTTCCAAGGCAGGAGATTGTATCGTGAACCTTACCACTTGTCACCAACCAAAACAGGAACATTTTAAAAATTGAGATACAACTAAACCATTGTAAGGGTTATGGAATTATGCACTTGGCAAAGCCTAGGGTTAGAGCTGCAAAATTTCTAAATCCAGAAATATATTAATCATGTTCTCAATGAACCTTCCAGAGCAGAGTTACAAATAGGATAACTTGGCCGTAGATCAGTTTTTCACAAGGTACTAAAACGTGAAAGCCAAACTGATCACTAAACTGGTCAGGGTATTGGTTCAAGAGGTAGTGGTCCAATTAGAAGTCAAACCAGAGTTAGACCAACCATGATTAAAATAATATAATTTAAATAAAAAGACATTTATCTTCAAAACAATCATTCAAATCCAAGACTTCAAGATACAACAATAAGTCTAACAATAACAAATTATAACATTCAAAATATTCATCCTTACAATCCTTTAATCATTAAAAAGTCTATAACTAATAATCACCAACACCAAAATTATCATTAACTTCATTCAAATCTTCAGGCACCGAGACATTAGGAGCTGGAATAATTTGAACACAAATAAAGTAATAAAATAAAAATCTTACAATCAAGAAAGAATAACTCAACGCAAATAATTCATTCTACAAGATCAGCGAATAATTTTCTCTTCAAGAGTTCGAATTGAAAACAACAAATCATTTCTATCTGACTGCATTTTCTGATTACAGTATGGGAGAATGACAAAAAGGTTCCAAAAAGACCAATTAATTTAAGTTTCAAGTGCCAAACTCTAAAAATTTACAACTCAATTTCTCAATTTCACAACTATCTTATGATGAATTTATAACTTATTTTTTAAATTTTAACATGGTTAAAGAATAAAAAAAAATTATTTTTCCTGTTAGAATTTGGAAATTTGTCACAGGGAAGTTTCAAATTTTTGAAATTTAACACTTAAAATTTAATTTGAATTAACTGATCCTCTTGGACCTCTCTGTCATTCTCCCTTACAGTATTGATAAAAAAAGGAATTCTGAAATCTAAAAATATAATATAATTTTTTTATTACAGTATCAGTCCACAGTAACAACAAATCTCTATCTTACTACATTATTGATGAATTCAATTGTCTAACATTTGAATTCTAATAAGAATGATTCAACAAAGGAACCATAAAGTTATTTAGGGAGACAAGACTTAAAATGAAAAATCAGCACCAATAATTCAGCATAAATAAAAATTTAAAATCGAACTCAACAGGGAGAGTGAGTGGGAGAGATAGATCAAACCAGAAGAGACGATTTGGCGACACGAGGAAGGAAGAACTGAAGCCACGAGAAGATAGATCAAACCACACAGTGAGAAAGAATCTGAACTCTGAAGCCAGGATGAAGGGGGAATTGGGAAGAGGAAGAAGCGAAGCAGGGATGATTTCGGCGACCTCACGATGCGCCGCACGGCCGAAGGCAGCGGAGACGAGTTCCACGACTTCGAGCAGGCAACACCGCAGAGAGACGAGCTTAGGGCGTGGGGCACACGAATTCTGATCTGATTCACGTTTACCGCATCGTTTTGTCGACCCCGCTGTCTGATTTTTTTTTTCCAGTAAAATATACTCTCAATTTAAAAATATAAAATATCTTTAATTAAATTTTAAAAATAATTATTTATTTTTAAATTAATTATATCTTTTTATATTTATTTTTATTAAATATTTTATAATAAGTATAAAATTATTATCAATAAAGATACTTTTAAAAAAATAACGATTAAACTTTAAAAAATTAAAAATACATTATATTTTTTAATATTTAACTTTTCAAAAAATACCTTACATTTTAAAAAAAAATATTAATTTTTCTTCTATTTCATTTCAATTGCATAAAATTTTCTTCTATTTTAAAAATCTATATAAACTTTTCTTGATATCAATATTTACATAACACAATACTTTCTCCCTATTTTAAAGATTCTATTTTCATTTATCCAATTATTAATTAATTATTTAAATCATTTGTTTTAAATTACAATGCCCTTCTTTAATATAAATATTAGTCAAAAATCATTAAGTTTTTAAATAATAACTAAAATATACAAGTTGAAAAAAAATAAAATATAAATAAATTTATTTGTATAGAAGAATGACAATAAAATACTGCTAAAATATATAAATAACAAATAAATACTGTGAAGAGGTTGGGTCCGAGGGACCATGTTGGAGGCAAAAAGGGAGGGGAGGGTTGAGGGAGGGTCAAGTATGTGATTTCCCCAAAAAAAAAAAAAATTTGTCATGCAGATGTTAAAGATTGTAAGATAATTATCATATTTTGTGGTATCTATTTATCATTTGCATATCCTGATACATTATTATCACTCTCCCTATTTATATAGTATATAATTTTAAAAATCATTTATATAAACTTATTTATATGGTAATTTTTAAATAAAAAATTGGTGAAAAGGAATTTGTTGGAAGGAAAATTGATTCTAAAGATCAAGGTTAATATTTTATTAATTAAATAATATGAACAAATGATTGAAATACCCATCTGTTTAAATCAATAAAATAAAAAAAAATAAAGTTGCTTATTCAACACATGCACCCCAAGCTAGAAGCCTTTTGGCTTGGGGTGCAAGGTCTTTCATCTTAGGGTACAAGAATTTTGACTTGAGTGTAATGTTTTTTTGGATTGCATGTGTTAAACAGTCAGGTTTTTTTTTTCAATTTCATTTATTTAAATAAAGGGGTGTTTCAGTCATTTATTCATATTATTTAATGAATAAAATATTAGCCTTAATCCTTGAATTACATTTGGTTCTTAAGACTAATTTTTCTTTCAATGAGGTCCTTTTCACCAATTTTTTCTTTTTAAATTTTAAATACATAAGCTGATAAAAGAAATATTTCAGACATCCATGAATAAAAAATTTAATAAATTACAAAATTTCTTAGCAAAAGAAAGAGTAAAGAATTTAATATAAAAAGAGATAAAATAATTAATATAATTTATATTTATTTTATTAATTTTTTGTAATAATTTATTTATGTTTATTAATTTTAATATTTTGTAAAATGTTTACGTAAATATAACCACAATATTTTTTAAAATAGGAGGAGAAAGACTGATAATTTTAATTTTTTTCACATATCTTAATTAATATAATAAAACATTTTAGAAAATTAAAGATGGATTAAAGTGTAAGTTTTTGAAAATAGAGGGGAAGTCTATATAATTTTAACAAATTTAAAGAGATCGGGTAACCACATTTCACTCTTTTCCACCAAAAAGGAAAAACTAGAATGACGTCCCTTTAAAGCTCCTGGAAGGGAGTGATGTAACTTGCCCAACTTGCCTCCACATGTGAGGTTGAATGAGTTAATTCAACCTTTTTTCAAGTCACTCGAGTTACTCTGGGTTGTTCTTCTATCATTTTAGACAATAGACAGGTCTGGATGGATATATGATCACTTTGCTAGTCCAATCTTGTTTTCCGAACCATGCGAATAACATATGAAAATATGATTCTTTATATAAAATTGTGGTCCTGTTCTATATTTAAACAATGTAAGGATTTAAGTTTTAAAAAATTGAATTAGTGATCATTAAATTTGATAAAAAAAATTTAAAAAAAGAGTTGTGAATATTGGTTCAGACAATTATTGACAGAAATTTTAATTGCAATTTAGTAGTTATATTTAAACCTTAAATGTCATATTCATTATTAATTTTCTTTGATTTTGTAGTTGCTTCAATCAATATTTCTAATTTATTTTTTAAAAAAAATTATCAAAAATTTAACCCCCATTAATATGATATTTTAGGATGTCTGATATCTCCAGCAAATATTGCCAAAAGAAAAGGAAGGTCCTATCAAAAAGATTTTCGCGTCTGGACACAAAATATATATATTTTAGAATGTAATTTTTCAATGGAAGGCTGGTCCGAGGAGATAAAGAAAAAATGTATGATAAGAGAAGAGAAACTTTAAACAAAATCATTTACGTGAGAAAAGTGAATTACAGGAAGCTTTTTGGTCCTTCCATTTATCCGGTGTCCTCTCGAGAAATTCACCGCAGCGGCGCGGCGCATGTGACAAGTTTCCATTATCGTATATTGTTGTTGTAATTATAATTACTACTATTATAATGATTATATTGCTATTTGAATTTGAATTTGATCTGTGACTCGATATTGAAATTCGAAACGCATGTTGCCATGTCTCAAGGTATGTTAAACACTCATATTACTTGCAGTTATGTCTGGCAAATTATATCGACTCGTGTGATATGGATTAAGGAATGGGGATGCTTGGAAATGAAAACAGATCATTTGATCGAGATTTCCGATTCCGTCTCTGAGCTGTAGTGATATTGTTATAAAAAATAATAATAAAAACACAAATCCTTACCATTTTAAACCTTCAAGATATTAAAATATTTTTTATTTTATGTACAAACTATTGATAAAAAAACAAAAAAAAAGTTAAAAAATTAGAACATTATAAAAAACACTAGAGAAAGGCACGATAAAAGCACTGACTTTGAGTTCACCAAGTTCAAGGTTGAGCTAAACAGCTCTGGCTAAAAGAGGATGAAAAATACATTTCTATTGAGCCTTTTTCATTCAAACTTTCAATTAACAAGCTTGCCTCATCATATTATGCACGCTTCATTTTTACTTTGGCAAGAATATCATATCAGTCTACTTCCACTTGAACTAGATTGACGATGACGTTTGGGATAGGATGGCCAACTTTTATGGGGGTTGAATGACAATCTTTTATTGGGCCGGACCGATAGTGACTATCGAGATCGGACAACATACTTTCATAAGGATAGACGTGCTAACTTTCGTTAAGACCAGACGATCACCTTCTATTAGGACTAGAGTGACAGGCAACGACAACTATGAGGACCAAATGGCTAACTTCCACTTGGACCAGATCGACGATGACCGCTCTATCTCTGTGGAAGTTGGTCGTTCAGTCCTGGTAGAAGTCAACCTTTTGATCCCGATGAAAGTTGGTCGTCCAGTGTCAGCCACCTTGTCTCTGCCATCCCTGTTAGTCTGATCTAGTCTCAGTCGTTGCTATCAGTTCGATCCCTGTAGAAGTCAATTGTTAATCCGGTCCCAGTAGAAGTCAGTCTTTTGATCTCTGTCAACAGCGGCTACTTGTTTCCATCAACTTTGGTGGTCTGATCTAATTACCATTGGTGGGCTAATCAAGCCTTTATGAATTTGGGTCAAATAAAAAAAAATAAGTTAGAATTTGAAATAATAAGAGTTTAAAAAGAATTTTAAATTATAAAGAAATTAAGGTAGAACTTGAATCTAGATTTAGACAAATCTAAATTCATACATTTTTAATTACCCAAACAATAAATTTGGCTCAAATCCAAATTCAAATGTATCCAAACATAACTTAGATAGCATTAGGCCCTGTCTAGGATTGCTCATTGGTTTCTCTTTGAGTTTGAAAGTCATGATTGCAACAAATCAAAAGTCACATATGTGATCGTTGATGAAGAAGATAAGGGGAAGGAAGATGAGGCTGAGATTGCAAAGGAAGAATAATTAGTGGCCACACACACACACACATATATATATATATATATATATATTAATTTTTGATCTTTTATTGTGTTGATTAAATAAAGAGCGATTTAATTTGATTTAAGCTTGGCAGCTCGTCACCCTCCCCAATCTCTTCAAAACTAACATTTACTTAGATTCTCATTCAACCTCATCAGAAACTTCACCTTGGCTTTATCTTTGATTTCTTCAGAGAGACAGTGAGCAAAAAGAGTAAGAACACAAGCATTTATTTTATTTTTTCAGTAATGAACATTTATGGGATATAAGATAACTAATGAGGGTAAATAATTTGGCTCCCCTAAAAAAAGCATCAATTTGGAGGGGACAAAAATGAGAGGAGGGTAGGGCTAAATTTTAGCTCCTCTCCCTTCCAAATTTTTAAACCGAATGAGAGGAGGGGAGCATTTCTCCCCTCCCTCAAAAAACCTCTAACCAAATATACTTTTAAAGGGTTCAATAAGCCTAATTGTCTATCCTAATTTGATTATTAACTCCTAATTAACCTAATTAATTAAGTAAGTCACTTGATTAATTAACTTAAACCCTTGAATTAATTTTGGGATGTTACAATTGTACCTTCAAATTGAAAATGCAATTTCAGGTTCCACCATCCAAAATTCTCCTAGATGCCTCAAAGTGTGGGAATGTTTTGCACAAAAAGTTGACTCAAAAGTTGCAAGCCTTTAATAATAAGCACCAAGTGGTGATAACACATACAATAATTGAATTTGAAAATGAGAGAAGATGAAAAATCGCATGGCTTCAAATAAACAAATGAAGTAATTGGTAGTAAGTTTCAGGTTATGGCAAGGGGGGGAGAGTGAGTTTCAAATACTGGAAGGAGAAGACTGGGTTTGTTGGAGAGATTTTCTGCCTCCAACTTCTTTTTTAAGACCATGGGCAATTCAATAATTAGGTAATAAAAATTATTCACAACAAAGTCCCACGGGACTTCAAAGCTAATTTTCTGTTTCGTGAGATCTTTGAGTAATTAAAATCCTTTCATGGGACTCAACAATATTTTCTCCTTATAATTTCAAAGCATGACCCTAATTTTTTTAGTGTTATGTTTTTCTTTTAACATTTTAAAACAATGCACCCCAACTGTTGACAGAAAATAATTCTAACTATTAATTGATTAGAAAATTATAAAAAAAAACTTTAAAATTAACTTTGACTAGGTTAGTTTTTTTTTCTAAGAAATTAGGCGTTTCCTCCATGCAGTCCACCAAACCTTCGCGATTCAACAAAATCTTCTCCAAATTTTCTACTGTTCCATTCAGTTCAGTGATGATGCACAACGATGAAAAAAACAGAAAAGGGGGGAAAGGAAAGAAGGAAAATAGAAGATGGTGTGTTAGCTGGTTTGAAATTTCCAAAAGTTCATGGTGGGACACATTTTTTATCTGCCCTTTGTTTTTTGGGGTCAATCAGGGGCTAGGGAGCATCAGGTTATAGTTTAAACTTGATGACTTTTATCTGGCCCTCGTGATTTGCAAGTTTGAAAGTACCCCACGCAAATAGTTCCACGTGGACTTGTGACATAGTTTGGGCCTTTGTTCAAGTCATCTTGAGCACGCTCGGTGAAGAACAGTTTCAAGGTCCGAACTAATTACAAGTGTCTGGATACTCTGTTCAAATGAATTGTTAGAATGAAACGCCATTTTGCAAACCAGACTCTGACAAACTTCAATCATGAAGCCCGGCATAAGATTCTATCTGAAACTTATTTTCATAAATAGGATCCAAGTCAAGAGGAAAACTAAAAGAATAATGAAAAACATGCTTGCACTGGGAGAAAATGAATATCCAGCTATTTGCCAGTGATTCTAAATTCAACTCAATCAAATCAAGGGTCCCATATCCATTGCACGTGCACGTGCAAGGCACAACAGTACCAGACCGAAAGGGAATCGGTTCTCTTTTCTTGCCTCCCCAGAGGCCCGTACCTTCTTCATGTCTCTTCCTTTTTACTTATTATGATGACCCAAAGCTTAGAATTTGCGCATGTCCATGATTATGCAGATTGCAGAACCATATAGTAATGGAACAAAAGTTTGGCCGAATTGGCCAAGACAGACATCAAAGCCTCTCATACCAAAAGAAGCTTTATGTTGAGACTTTTTCTTCTGCGTGGGTTAATAGTTTCAATCTTTTTGGCTCCATGTGTTGCTTTGTTCTTTGTTCAGGGGACACCTCTCCATATTTTAATGTATGCGAACATGTTAAAGCTAGGGCTTTCAGAAACTAACTGAGCGCACGTAAAATGGGTGAGAACTGAGAAATATGATTTAACAGACATGGATGGGGCCACTCAAGGGAGGTTTAATCAGTGGGTTTATGATAGGGACAATAAAGCTAAGAAAATTGTTTGACAGGAGAAGCCAAATCATTCTCAATGCCTTTTTTGTAAACACAGTTTGGTGAGCCTCACCGTCAATACTAGTTTTTCTTTTCTATTTGCTTTCTAGAACCAAAAGAGGTTGAAAAAAAAACATAAGTTTTGCGCTGTTTTTAGTTTTATCTCACCAGGAATTACATCTCCTAGATTATAATAACCGCATGAAAAGGGTCGTACACAACAATTACTTCATCTACAGTTTTATAAGAAAATTGCAATTCTAACTATTTGTGTTGAATGAAATACTTCGCATATTACATTTTTATTAAATATGTACCAGATATAAAGTTAATTTTCCATTAAATTAGCCTTTGAGTTACATGTTTCACGTGAAATCTTAGATAGCCACCTTGATATGACTTTTTATAAATTTCATACCATGTATATTAATTATTTATGCGTGCTTGGCTTCTAATATCCATTTTTCTATCTTCATCATAATCCATAACTTAAAGGAATGGATCTTTTCAATCTATCAAATAGATTATGAGGATTTTGCAGCAAACTTTGCATATGCAAAATTTATTGCAGTGGATATCAAGAATCTTAATAATTTTACCCATTTTCTTGTTACATCCCAACAAAAAGAAGCTACTCGATACAATTCAGTTTTCTCTCTATTCCTCTTTTTTTTTCCAAACATGCCCTTATTTCTTCTTGCAGAGACCCATCTTCGTGTGATATGAGAATTTGGACTTTCAGCAGATGTACAGGGGCAAATTCGATAGTTCGCCCTTTTTTAAAGAAATAAAAGATCGAATCCGCTATATAAAAAGGAAGGTCCTGTTGAATGTTCGCGGGTTATCACAATAAAGTGCCTGCTTTTCGCTATATCAGACATTAAATCATTAAATCAGAATCTAGGACAGTTACCAGGTATATTTATTTTCACATCTACATATATGTGTGTGTGTGTGTATTCTGCTGTGCCTGTAGACCAAATCTGCATCTTCAGCGAGAGGATTATTAAGCATTATGGTTGAGTTTTCGCTCATCTCAGTTTTCCTCTGTGGACTGGTCTTGGTTTTGGCTTTGCTTCTCAAATATCTGAGAAAACAGAGCAACCATGAAAATTTGCCTCATGGAAGCATGGGCTTGCCATTCTGTGGCGAAACTCTTGGCTTCCTCAAACCCCATGAATCATTCTCCTTAGGAAGCTTCTTACAACAACGCTGTTCTAGGTACCATATTCTTTCAAGGCCGTTCTCTCGTGTTGTTAGACAATCATTGTCACTGAGAAATTATCCTTGTTATGTAGGTACGGCAAAGTTTTCAAGTCTCATCTGTTTGGCTCCCCTACCATCGTTTCCTGCGACTGCGACTTCAACATGTTCATTCTTCAGAACGAAGGGAAGCTATTCGAGGCTGATTATCCCAAGGTAATGCATTACATTCTCGGCAACTTGTCTCTCATTGTTGTCACTGGGGACCTTCATAAGAAGCTACGGAGCACTGCTGTTAGCTTCGTCTGTGCGGCCAAGTGCCAATCTACTTTCCTTCCTTCTGTGGAGAAGCTTGCACTCTCGAGTGTGAATTCATGGCGTCACTCTAAACAAGTTGGTTTTTATGTTGAAGCTAAAAAGGTGAAATTTCTATCTGCCACTTGATATATATATGTGTATATATATTAGAAAAGAAGCAGTAGAAGTGAAGACATAAGATTCCGTTTTTCTTCTGTGGTTAAAACAGTTTACAATCTGTGCTATGCTGAAGCTCCTTCTGGACATTAATCCGGACAAGCCTCTAGGCTCTGAGATTCTAGAAAACTTCGAGACTTACATGAGTGGTTTCATATCATTCCCACTGAATATTCCTGGAACAACATTTTCCAATGCTGTGAAGGTACAGATAAAAAATGGATTTATATTAAACTGTTTGGTTAAGCGAGAGCCAGCAGATGTTGATGCTGATATATTTTACTGTTCTCGGATCCTATATGTCAGGCTAGAATAAGACTCTCGTCCATTGTCAAAGAGATAATAATAAAAAGGCGTAGAGGTGATAATGTGGGGTCGTCAGAAGGAGAGGGCCTCTTAAATGTGATATTGTCAAAGCCTAACCTTTGCGTTGAAGAGATGGTGAGTATTGTATTGGACCTCATGTTTGGTGGTTATGAGACAACGGCAAAGCTATTGTCCTTGATTGCCTATTTCCTTGGCCAGTCACCTGATTTGCTAGAAAGGCTCAAGGTACTTGGGCTTCAACTCTCCCTATTTTATTTAATCCTAAGTCATAACTCTGTTGATAATGATTTACTGATTCGCTGCTATCAATTCAATAATAAAAAAACCCCACAGGAGGAACATCAAGTCATTAGGAAAAGCAAAGTAGATGGGGAATCACTGAACTGGGAAGACTTCAAGCAAATGAAGTTCACTCTTGATGTAAGAAAAACAGTTACTTTACCATACAACAATTTTAATTACCTCCTTAAGATTGTGCAGTTTCTCATGTAATCTCAACAAAATTCTTGCCATCAGGTTATAAATGAAGCAACAAGATATGGGAACGTAGTCAAATTTTTGCACAGGAAAGCTATTCGAGATGTCAAATTCAAAGGTATTTAAACTGAAAGCATACGTTATCTTAGTTCTCTTTTTACAGAAAAAAATCTGGTCATGTTTCATCAATGGTTGAAAATTGTTGCAGATTTTGTTATACCAGCAGGATGGAAGGTCCTTCCTATTCTGTCTGCTGGGCATTTGGATCCTCTGTTTCATGAAAATCCTTCAAAGTTCGATCCTTCCAGATGGGAAGTATGTTGTGATACCCTGCCATTAACAAACATTTGTTAGAGTGTAATGAAATTAACGTTACATATCAAACATTTGTCTTATCCATTGGCAGGACACTTCAACATGCAAGAAAGTTACAGCATTTGGTGGAGGCTCACGACTATGTCCAGGTGCTGATATAGCTAGGGTGGAGATAGCATTCTTCCTTCATCATCTTGTCCTTAATTATAGGTAATCACCATATCACACTAACTAGGCAACACTGTCCACTAGAATCATGACATGCACAGCTTATGGGTATCAAGATGGGCAGGTTGGTGAATAAATTAACTCACTGCATCCCACTTGGGAATCCACATGATTATTTTATTAGTTTATTAGCAAACAGTACTGATGCAAGCCAATGTGGAGCACTGTGCATGATTGTTGCTCCTGATGCCAATGAACATTGAGCTAATTACGCTGATGGGGTTGCGAAGAATAAAAAAATAATATTCGCTTTTTTGATGTTACTTGCTGCGTGAATGCACCAGGTGGAAGATCAAATCAGATGACTGCCCACTTGCTATTCCTTACGTGGAATTCACCCAAGGGTTGCTATTGGACCTTGAAAAGTTAAGCTCATGAAAACACTGGTTTTGGAGAGACACTCGAGATATGTGAATAAATCTAGTGCGTATTCAGTTAGCTGGGATATCCAGTGTTCCGATCCGAAGTCTAGAATCCAAATCTGGGATGATTTAAGGCATGTGATAGAAATTCTAATTCTAGTTATTACCCAAAAAAAATACAAAAAAAAAAATTCTAATTCTAGTTCTAGTAGTTGGTACTTGACGATACTTGGGCTCAATGTCAATTGTCCATGTGAATAGTAGGAACAGATTGTTCTGTTACTCGTAGGTCCTGTGTCTTTGTAACTCAAGGATCCATGTTCTGTAAGTTACAATAAAGGAAAAACATGTTCGACAGTAAAATAGTAATCGCATGATCGCACCCCCGGGTTTTTCATTAATATAAAGCGGGTCTTATTTAACTTTGACTTATGAGGATACATTCTGTAAGCTTGAAATTAATATTTAAATTATAAGTTACATATGTTACATGTCAATTCCATGGCTCTCTAGATTCGCAAATGAACGTGTATAACATATTTAGAAAGAGACGGAGCCAAAGAGATAACGAGCATACAAATAAGAAGTGAGTTCCATATATAATAATATTCATTTGTACAATTGTGAAAAATAACTAATAATAGTCTTATTTATTTATATTGTTTCAGCTAAAAATAGAACGTGAGACTTGCATCCCTCAAGTTTTTTTTTTCCCGTAACCATAAGAATAAAGTAATAAACCCCGCTGATATACCGAGACAATGGGTTCCACTTTGAGTTATATGTCATCCTATTTATCGCTTTCAATGTATAATAGAGATATGTAAAAATAGAATACACATCACATACAAAATTATAATAATGGGTCGGCCCATCTTGTTAGGCCTCTTTCGTAACTGAAATGACGGGGGCTCGTTGTTATGGTTCACGACAATGCAGGCCAGTTTTGACTTTTGACCCAAAAAACCGCAGGAACTCAGCGGAGTTAAAGGCCTGCGCCGTTACTGTGCCTCCGATTTCTTCCTTTCCATGACACACCGGGCGTCCTGGCTTGTTGAAAAAGTTCGTCGAGTCGACTCCGTCTAGCGCTGTGAGCACCTCTCTCTGTCATCGAACTTCATTCAGCTGTAAATTAGCACTGATAGCAACGCACATTGGCACAGTCCCCACCTTGACCCAGATCTTAACGTTAAATATCTTGTCGGTCTTCTGCTCGGTTTTTCCTTTTTCCTTGTTTAGCGATTTAATTTTCCCCCAATCAATCTCAAATCTGATCCTCATCTATATGAGATTTGACGCAGCTGCCTTTGGTTGCTGAAGAATTTTTTTCAGGATAGAAAAAGAATAACTACTATCAGAGTAGAACTTCCCTACTCTTCCCTGGGAACGCGAGCGCGCGCGATATGTGATACTTGGATGAAACTTTAACTTTCAGTCATCATAATTTGGGATATAGGATTTCGTATTTTGGCAGACTTCTATGGGGTTTTAAGTACTCACGTTATTTTCTGGGAGGTGGTTCTAACCGGTATATTTTGTATATATCTTTTGTAGGTCAATACGAATTTTAAGTATGTCTAAGTTGGCGGTAGATCTTCCTCCCAGAGGTGGATTTAGTTTTGATCTCTGTAGAAGAAATGACATGCTTGAAAAGAAGGGTCTTAAGCCGCAATCTTTTCTCAAGACAGGAACTACTATTGTTGGTTTGATATTTCAGGTATGATTGTTTCAGTGCTCTTTAATTTTTAGTGCTTAGTGTTTACTGTCTCACCTCATGTGGCCCTCTTTCTTCGGTGATTCTTTTCGCTCCATGAATTTAAGTAGAATTTTAACAACGTCTTAAGTCTTCGGTGAGTAAGGTCTACCTTGCATTAGTGGAAATGGTCACGTCTCTTCCAAAGAAGTGACACGATGAAAACCATAGATTTTTTGGGGACATTCCAAGTATACTATAAATGCTGATCTAGTACTTGAGCGTTTTGCATTCTGGCGTTTGTTGCTAAATTTTGAAATACGTTCCCACTTATAATATGTAATGGCTAAGAGTTTTCTTTTGTTTCTTGCCGTTTCTATTACTCAAATGACAATCCTCTTTAGCATGTTCAGAAACCATGAAGTAGCCGCTATGCAAGGAAAGACTAAACTTAGAAACTTGGTCATGAATCATGATTTATGTGGAGAGTGAAATGTCTGGTTTTATGACTGTGGCATACAACACAATCTATTAAATTGATTAAGTTCAGTTGAACCAGCTGCTTGCATTTTTGTGGGTATCTCCATCTGTTTTGGTAGCCATGTGGCTTAAACTTCAATAGAGAGGCGAAAGGGTTTGGGTTGGATTGAATTCTCAAATTATATGATAAAAAGTTGACTTGTATTCTAATGTCCAAGCATGATGCTTAGAGGTGGCTTTTAAACACAAAGTGATAGTTAATGATGTTGTTCAAGTCTTATAATGATTCATGGAAACAGTAAATTAGGGGAAGCTATTGAGAGCATGTTTGGTTTCATGTTGTGATTTTTATGGTTTCCAATTTGAAACTAAACACACGCTCTTAATGGTCTACTTATAATATATAAACCGTTTACATATTAAATTCTTTATTAAATCCCTGGTCTGAGCGACCTCTCTCCTCCCCTGCCTGACTTTGAAAAGCAGGGGACAGATAATAAGGCTTTGCTTTTACAGATTTATGATTCTCATAAGATTTGCATGTTATTCCATCAGATGGAGTATAACTAATAAAAGTGGATCTTAAATGTATACGGTAGCTATTTCCACTTGCTGCAGCTTACTTTAACACAAAGCAACCCATAATTAAGGCTCTTAATGATTGCTAACGTTGATGGCATTGCCACATGCTCAAAATATATTTTTTCCAGAATTTCATGCTTAATAATTTTTTCTTATTGTCTGGTTTGTATAACATATTTTAATGTTGTGGTTTGCTGCTTTTCGTGTGTTTAATCACTCGAAAAAATTCTTAGGATGGCATCATTCTTGGAGCTGATACAAGGGCCACTGAAGGACCCATAGTTGCTGATAAAAACTGTGAGAAAATTCATTACATGGCACCCAATATATATTGCTGTGGAGCAGGTACTGCTGCTGATACAGAAGCAGTAACAGGTATTTTGTTGCCATAGTATATTTTTTGGCTTCATAACACTATTTCATGTCTCATGGCTTCTGTAATAGGGCTGTGTTTAAGATTTACTCATCTTTGATGATGAGAAGTTTGACCATTTCTGTAGATATGGTCAGCTCCCAACTGCAATTACATCGCTACCATACTGGTCGAGAATCAAGAGTAGTTACGGCACTGACACTTCTGAAGAAACATCTTTTCAAGTTGAGTTTCAGAACTTCCATTGCAATTAAATTTACTCCCTGTATCAGTATTCATGTTGACTTTCTAAATAATTGTGCAGTTACCAAGGTTATGTCCAAGCAGCTTTGGTACTTGGTGGAGTTGATGTCACTGGACCTCATTTACATACTGTAAGTTCTTTGCTTAAAAGCTCTGTATTTGAATTTCCTTGTTTTGAATGCGTGCAATGTTATATCTTGTGACTCTTAATTATATATGCAGATATACCCTCATGGTTCAACTGACTCACTTCCCTTTGCAACAATGGGATCAGGTTCACTTGCTGCAATGTCTCTATTTGAGTCTAAATACAAGGAAGGCTTGACTGTAAGTGAGCATGCTGTGGTTCAGAAATCTTGGACTGTTAAATGGCCAGCTCATTTTATGAAAATAGACAACATTAACACCTGTTAACATTTACGTTTGTCAACAATTTGAGTCTGCCAGATGATTTTTCCTTCTAAAACTGGTATGTTAAAAATAAGTATGTACAAATGTTAGTGGTGATTTAGGCTTTGATTTTGAGTCATGAAATTTAATATTGGCCCTTGCCAGAATGCCAGATATTGTTGATTTATTATCAACCTTCTGATGTGGTGCAGAGGGATGAAGGGGTACAGCTAGTGGTTGAGGCAATATGTGCTGGTATATTTAATGATTTGGGAAGTGGAAGCAACGTGGACGTTTGTGTGATAACCAAGGTATAGTTTTGATGCCATCCAGACCCTGCAAGGCTGCAACTGGGCTTTTGAAGAGAAGAATTTAATGTTCATTGTTGTACTGATTTTGTTCTAATATTGCACAGGGACATAAAGACTACCTCAGAAACCATCTTTTGCCAAATCCACGTACATATGTCAATCCAAAAGGCTTTACTTTCCCTAAAAAGACCGGTTTGTGGCAAACTTCCATTTAATACACTTGAGGCCCCTTCGCCTTGCATCTCTATTTCTTGCTATCAGTCTGCTAGGCTAGGAGTCTACGTAAATTAACATGACTTGCAGTATGTAAGGCATTTTGTGTGCTTCCTTTCCCGCATCATGTCTTCTTTTTCTGATCAAGTAGTGTGAAGTTTAGCCCGTTTGAATTTAGTGATATATCTATGTGGTGCCTAAGGCGTTAAATCTTTTCTCTGGCAGAGGTTCTCTTAACAAAGATTACTCCCTTGAAGGAGAAGGTTGAGGTGATCGAAGGAGGTGATGCTATGGAAGAGTAGCATTCGTGTCAACAGGAACTAATGCCTGTGGCCGAAACTTGACTGCAAGCAATGACTAGTGGAATGGTTCCGTAATATGTATTGTCGTACTTTAGAACCGTGACCCTGTTTTTACCTCAAATGAATCCATTAGATCAGTTCAAGTGGGAACCGTGTTTTTTTTTTTATTTTAAATTCTCATTACATGCTATTAAAATTGAAGTATTGATTCTCACTGAAAAGTACTTGGGATTGTGGAGGCCGAAGAATCTCTTTTCAGGGTAAGCCCGAGGGAACGTATGCTACTACCCCCCAGGGTGGGAGCTTTGGAGGGAGGCACGGGGGATGGAAACGAATTTGTCGAATGACTTTGTCATGTTCCTGCATGAGTCGTTACATCATTGGCCGAGCGTTGTGTTTCAAACACTTGGGTATTTCTTGATTGATTGTTCACTGTGATTACAGTTATTTTTCTCCTTTTCCCTGTTCAAGTGCTTTTGTTAGGTTTTATTAACTATTTTATAAAGATTAAGGAAATTATTTAGAGGTCGTTAACTGTTAAAAAGTTTCTACAAATTTTTTTAAAGTTACCTTTTGATTAGTATGGCTTATTAGGGAGAAAAGAAGGAAGTCATTATAAAGATATAAAGGGTATTCTTAATAAGGATTTTGTTGAATTTTGTAGAGGGCAAGTCTTGGCTTTACATATTTAATATATTTTTTCAATCAAATTGAAACAAGTGAATTTTTTTAAAAATTAAAAAGGAATTACAAAGAGGTTAGTGCCTCGAACCGAACAAAGTCTTGGCGTAGGAATGCCGATAGCATCATCATGACGAAGCTTCAACTGAGTAAGTGAGGGGAACTCAAAAGCATGTAGCCATTAGACTAGGCCAACAGCAAACCATCCAAGATTCCCCATAGTTCAGCTTGAACAACGTTACAATCACCTAGTTTTCGGCTTGCTCCACCAAGAGCAGAGCTATCACAGTACTTGGGTAACGTGGTCGAACCTATAGAGAACCCCTCAAACACCCATGATCCATCACAATTAACTTTGACCCAGCCTGGTGGTGGGTAGCATTACTCATTGAGACAATGGTAGCCCTGCCTAGGCTTGCATCACTGATGATTGTGCAGAGTGATCTAATATCGCGGATGACAGGTTCCACATGCCCACTAGATCACTATCATGAGCAAAAATTATGAGGTGGTGCTTCTCCCATAGTTTCCAGCGTGCAACAGCAAAGGTGGTGTGCCAACCGTGGTCCTTGTGGTTAAGATAATGAACGATCCATCCACGTGTGTTATGTATATTTAAGAAGCTCTACTGGAAGGAACGAGCTTGCAGATGACACCAAACACATCTTGATAACTGGCAGTCACAGAGAGCATGAAGAATATCCTCTTCATTTGCATCGCGGAGTTCACAAGTGGGCATAGAAGTCATGTCCCTTTTCATCCTTTCCACATCTGTTAAGAGTTTACCCTTCATGGCAAGCCGAAGAAATGTACGAGCACATTATGGGCCCTTCCATTTCCACGATTCATTATCCCAGTTTGTCAAACATGTTAATAACCAAAATTTATTATGGAATAAATATTATGTAAAAAATCTAAACATCTTAATTTAATTAAAAACAAATACATTAAATATATAGGATTAAGAATATAAATACTTTCTTTTCATAAATAGTTTGGTGTCAAGGATTAATAAGTAGGTTTTATAAATTCCATAGAAAGGAGTGATTAACAATCCTGCCTGAATTTATTCATTTTTCAGTTATAGGCTATAAAAAAGGAAAAATGTTAATTAACCCTTCTCAACCCAATATAATTTCAATCAACTCTCTAAACTTTTAAAATTTCACTATATATTTGGGACGATTGAAATAAAATTAAAGAACTGACTTAAATAATTTTATTGTCTCCGATACAACTAAGCGCACGAACAATTCATTGATGTGTAGAAAATGAATAATTGACGTAAATAGAATAAGAGTTACAAATTCATAATAGTGTTTTGCTGTTAATGAGATTTGCATAATTCAACTCACACTAATGATTCATTTTTTATACATTAATTGTTTATTTTTGTTACACAAGTTATTGATGCACCTAACTTCATCCAGGATAATAAGATCATTTGAGTTACTTTTTTAATTTTATTTTAGTTCCCTGAATATGCAGTAAAATTTTATAGTTTTGAGAGGTTAGCTCAACTTATGTTAAGTCAACAGGGTTTGACTGAAATTTTCTTATAAACAAAAAATAAAAGATTAAAGTGTATTTTTGCTTATAAACTATTCTTCAAAAAATATTTAATATTCTAAACTATTTTAATTGTAGCAATTTCATCTCTAAAGAAATTAAAACACAATAAAAATGAACATTAACTTAAATCAATGGGACATGATAAATGATATTTTTTGTCAAACTTATGTGGCCAAACAACATTTTTAATGATTAACATTGGAGTATTTAATATTAGGAACAAATATACTACACTTTAGTTACCTTAGAACTAAAATTAATACAATAAATAATTTAGAACACTGATATTCTTTAGAGAATAGAGGAAGTAAACATGCACCTTCACCCAAAAATAGAAGAAAATCAAAGGAGCTACAAAATCTTGCTTGGGCGTGGCATACCATATTAAATATTGATCGATTTTATCTTGAACGAATCCAGCATCCACGGAACTCATAAGACAGGCACGAGGGTATAACTTAGATGAGATTCTATAATGTCATGAGGAAAAACATACCAAATTTACATGCGATTTTGCTTTAAAAATTTAAAAAATCATAATAAATGAATAAGAGGAGGACCGGAAGACCCAATCCAGAACGGGAATGGGTTTACGATTACGAAGGCGTTCCTCACACGTCACGCTCTGGCAATTGAACTATAAAACCCCCTTCGATTCGACGCTCTTCATTCTTTGTCACTCCTTCTCTTCTTTCCCTCCTTCTCAGTTCTCTTTCCCATTCCGCCTTTGAACCCACTACATATTTCACCGCCCTAGCTGAAACTGCTTCTTCAGCAGCGCCACCTCTTTTCTTGATCTGCACGGCGTCGTTTTCTTGACATGTCTTACGACTACCTTTTCAAGTATATCATTATCGGCGACACAGGTTAATTTCCTCTCGGAACCCTAACTTCTCTGCCACTTCGGTTGTGTTTATCTAATTTATTGAACTTCGGGCATTTGTTGGTTGTGGTGCAGGTGTTGGCAAATCATGCTTGCTTCTGCAATTCACCGACAAGAGGTTCCAACCCGTCCATGATCTGACTATTGGTGTGGAGTTCGGCGCTCGTATGATCACCATCGACGGCCGACCCATCAAGCTCCAGATATGGGACACTGTAAGTCTATTAGTCTATTTTTCATTGCATCTCCCTTTCTTCCATTATTTCTTTTTACTTGTGTTCTCAAAATTTAATTACGCTAACCGTTGACCTCTCCCATTGCTTCTTCAAGTATTCAAAATAAGTTGTTGAGGATTGATGGAATATTCAGAGAGTTTACAATAATTTGTTTGGTGCTTTCGCTATTCCGAAAGTTCTAAAGGCCAGCATTGAATTGATGTCCTTATATTCTTTCAAAAATATTTTTCTTGTTTTGATTGTTTGAAGCGGGGAGAATTTCATATCAAGAATGATTGGCCCATTGAGCATCATCTTTAAATGACTGACTGCAAACTTTTCGGTCATTGAGACGCTAAGCATAGTAAGTTATGAAATCATATCTGAAACCTCTGCAGTATGATACTGATCTGAACGACTCTTTTCCTTCCCATTAAGTAAGTCTCTGGAGTGTAGAATTAGAGTGCGCCCTTGCATGGTAACCTTAAATTGATACATTAATTAATGTTGTCTTTGTCCTTTTTATCACAATGTATAGCTGTGGTTTTAGATTCTAGATTCACTGTATAAATTTTTGCAATGCATATTTACTGATACAAAATACCTAATTTATATGTAGGCTGGGCAAGAATCTTTTAGATCAATAACTAGATCATACTACAGAGGAGCTGCTGGAGCACTTCTAGTTTATGACATTACAAGGTGCGTATTGTACATGTTAGTTGACATGTAGGCATTGTTTTTGCGGTTAAGAGTCATGCTAGACTCTGTATAACCCTTCCGCGTGCTTCTACTGTTCTATATTGTCTAGTGTTTACCTCTATTATTTATTTTTATAGTTCCCAGAGTTTCACTGTACTTATAATAGAGGTTAATGTGAAATTCTGTGTAATTGTAATTCTGCAGCATATATTAAGTTCACTTGCTTCTGGGAGCTGATTGAAGCTTTATTATTCCTTGCCATTTTTTCATTGTTGATTCTTCTGTTTGAAAGTCATAAATTATGTACTGTCCATTGATTCTTTTAACCCGTCTGTTTATTTAACTACTCTAGAAATGTAATAAAATCTAATATTTGAACTTTAAGCTGTTTCAGATTATTTTATTCTGTAATGTTTATGCATGGATGCTAGTCCCCCTCACCCTTTTGCATGTGTAGGCTACCTGCCCTTTTGTTATGCATGCATAAAATGATAATCAATGCCATCCAATGCCAAGTTCCTAGTTTTTATGCTTGTTTTATTTCCTAATCCTGCCCTTACCTGAAAATCAGAAGTTTTTGTTATCAGGAGAGAGACATTTAATCATTTAGCAAGTTGGCTGGAAGATGCCCGGCAGCACGCTAATCCTAACATGACAATCATGCTTATAGGAAACAAGTGTGATCTGGCTCACCGACGGGCAGTGAGCAAAGAGGAGGGGGAACAATTTGCAAAGGAAAATGGGCTTTTATTCTTAGAGGCTTCTGCGAGGACGGCTCAAAATGTGGAAGAGGTGATTCATCTTTGCAGACTCAAAATTAAGAGTGCATTGAATGTCCTTCAAAGCTTCTGGAATATTGTGATTTTCCATTAGAGTCAAAAGTAATTATAAAGTATATTTTACAGGCTTTCATTAAGACTGCTGCTAAGATTCTTCAAAACATCCAGGAAGGTGTATTTGATGTATCTAATGAGGTAAAATATAGCGTTAGTTTCATGGTGGAAACTTTTATTTAGTTGGGACCAATTATCTTCGATTGGTCACCATTGGCCCCAGGCCAATATAGCACCAGTGTGTTATAGGCCTAAATAGCATTAGTTTGGATACTCCATCTGATTGGATGATCTAACTATATGATTCTTTTTATTGCAGTCGTTTGGCATAAAGGTTGGGTATGGACGCCCGCTGGGTCAATCAGGGGCTAGAGACGGTACAGTTAGTCAGAGTGGTGGGTGTTGCAGCTGATTTTGAGGAATGCCAGCTACTGTATTTGATCCTTTCGGCCCAACTATACCTGCAATTTAATGTTGTTGAATACACACAAGAATTGTCTTGAGAATAATGGATAGCACTAAAGTTTCTTGTATAGTTCTAATCTCAAGCGTTGCAAAAATTTTAACCTAAGATATGAAAGCCTGATTGAGTATCATACGCCTTTCATAAAAATTTTAAGAGCTAGGTTGTTACTCTTGTTTGCTACTGCATTGAAACAATATACCCATTCTCAAGCTATGTGGAAAATGGTGCAATTGATACCCAATTAGCAACCGATTCATCTGTTTCCACCAGTTTGACTTCAGTAAAACAGAATTATTGTAAACGCGCAATCAGTCATCTGTGTCATTATTGTGTGATAAATCGTTGAATAAAAGTTAAAAACAATCGAAAATAATCCCGCGCATTAGATTTGAACGAATTAAACATATCGGATATTGTGAAATCGGTCTTGTTGAGATTGACAACAAATTGAATGGATTCCAACATGGAATTTGCGTAGTGTACTTCTATAGATCCATCAAAACTGTAATTACTGCATATAAAATATAGCAAATTTAGCAAGCTGTAGTATTTATGGAATGTAAGCATGTGATTCACATCAAAACCTTGAACATTACACAAAATAACTCGAATTAGAGAGAAAGAAACGCCGCAACCCACAGGAAGGCATGCGACAATAATTTAGCCTCCCAATGATCGCAGAAATTTACTGTGTTATGATTTATATTATGGACGCAAAAACTACTTCACCAATGACAAAAGCACATTATACCGTTCAAAAGTGATAAAATGACACGACTTCCAGTGTATTTCATTATAATGCTGCGTTAACCATCAAGTCATGGCTCCATATGATTTTTTGCAGATTAAATGTATGATTTTTTTTTTTTTTAATTAAACCATACATGCACTCATCATGTTATTCTGAACGCTGAAGTATACAATTATTCTTCATATATTTATACCTTTACTCTGCAACTCATAATTGGATCGTTTCATCACAGCAAACAGAATGTTGAACAATTAGGCTACGTAACCTGGTACACTCACATGGTTTTAAATTTGATTTTCCTACAAAACCTTAGCTGGACGAAAAGAAAATTGTGTTAAGAGGAATCACGGCTGAATCATGAAAATACATCATAAGTAAGCTAGCAACAATCAACCGGTTGGGAGACAGTGTACACGCTGTGTCCCTAGTATTGAACAAAATTGGCTAATGATAGTGAAAGATATCAAGACATGCATTACAAACCACCAAATACCTGCAAGAGGCATAGTGAAAAAAGGTTCAATTTAAAAAAACCATGATACCATGCATGATGCAATAAGTACACTCTTGCAAAAATACATAGACAAAACCAAGAGCTATAACCACTAACCAAATTGACTTACCGCATCCAATATATCATCAGAGAGTCCGGGTTTATTCCCATCAGCATTAGCAGACATTGGTTTTTTCTGAGGGAAATGGCGAGTTACTTTAGCAATTTTTCCCGAATCTTGTTTAACTTTCTGCTTCTGTGAAAGCAGAACGAAATTGTATCACTTAATAATTTTTCAAATTATATTATTTGCATTAAAACTACAGAGGACCAAGCATCACTGAACAAAGTTTGTGAATACGAATTCACAATTAATGAAGTTACAGAAGTCAGCATGACCTGGCATACACAGCGTAAAAACATGTTAACATCAACAAATGCGACAGCCTGTGTTCTTGCCACAACTTTTACAAGCTTTACATTACAAGAGCAATCATGAAAGAAGCAATACCATGGGAAGAGGGGATTAAAGTTGATAAAGCCAACTATCTGAGAATTTGCAGCAAATTCAAAGGCCTGTGTAAGTTATTTAATTTAATACGGAATCATTCAGTAATGATCATCTAAGGATCGATAAAGCGAATCTCCAGCAACAACCTATGCAAAATCATTAAAATCAGGGCTGTTTTTACTTATATGTAATGCCAAAATTAGAAGCTATACAAAAATAGCTTATTCAGCATTGCTAATTGCTATATGAAAAATGCATAGGTATACATGACAATTGACATGGAACTTGGAGCCTTGGATCAAGCTATAAGCTGTAATGTTCTATTAATAAGTAAGATTTGTACTCCCTCCAATCATAAATATAAATCACTTTTAACTAATTCAAACGTACCGAGAAAAGTAGTTAAAGGATTAAAATTGTCATAAAATTGAAAAATTTTCCAATATTACCCTTATTAATTACATTAAACACCACTATACAATTCTTTGGAAATAGAATCCATAGAACTAACTAAATGCTAACCCTGTGTAATTTCCTGTCTAACGCGAGATTAATAACCTAAACATTAAATCATATCTAAAAACTACTCCCTATTGTCCTATATATATAGGTCATGTTTTAGAAGAAATTTGCGGTCCTAATAAATATAGGTACTATCCATAAGTTTTTCAGGGTATTTAATGCTTTTCCACAGAAATGCCCTTATAGCAATTTTCAACAACTATATAGAGAGGGTATTTGTTTTATTTAAATTGATGGTGTTAACCAGGGAAGAAGATGGAAACTTAAATTTGTTTCCAGAAAATGCCCATTTTTTTGTTCTGCTGTGATGGTAAATATGATCTATATTTAGGACTGGACAGAGTAATAGGTGATAGTCAGTGTAACTAATTCACTTTGACAAGTGCAGACATAGCATACCTTCTTTAGTCGTTCCTCTATAGAACTCAAAGCACGTGACTGATCAACTTTAGAAAGATAGAAATCCCTCTCTCTTTTTGCAGCAGAAAGTTCTACAGCTAGTTTTTGCTCCCGAATGGCTTTCTTGAAGGCTGTAATAAAAAATCAGTACCTTACTGTAAGCTCAGCTGCTTTAGCACCATTAAAAACAAAGATCATACAGATAATAAAAGCTATACCAAGTTCTTCAGTCAGATCATCCCATTTGAATTTACTCAAGTATTTAATATTCCAAAGGTCATAGTAGAATGAAGACCTCTTCTTTCCCCCTGATAAACAGTACGGACAGTTGTCATGGTATCAATACGGCCCAACATGATGGACAATCAGGGCATTACTAGTAACAACCATAGCACATGGTACATCATTGCCTCTGCATGTTAAGTCTTACAAACCCATATTTGGCTTAGAGTTAATTTAGAATACATACCTATCTGTTCACCATTTAGCATATTAGCAACTTTCTTTGCTACTCTTTTATTGGTGAATTCAACCCATCTACAAAATTGCAGGCAAAGCAAATGATCATATGCCAAGAGAGCAATCGAATTTCAAAATTGTCAATTAAATATTAAAAGAATACCCTTCTGAAAATACTTGGTCTCGAGGTTTACGTGACGGCTTTGAAGGTGCTGGAGCAGCAGAAGCTCCTATTGACAAATTCAGTAAAGTCCGTAGTTAGTCACAATCCATGTTCTGGTAGAGCGTTAAAAGAGATGTAATTAAGTATCAATAATGAACTAGAGGATATCACCTTCAGGAGCAAGATAAATCCTTTGAATGTCACCGTATGGAGAGAGAATACGCCGAAGCTTTAGATGGTCCATATGCGGGGGAATCCGACTCAAATAGCAGACACCACGCTTATCGGCCTTCTCTGCCTCCTTCAACAACCGCTTCTTTATTTTGTTTTTTATGGCACCCGTTTTCTCATCATAGGAATGTGAACCGGTTTCCTTCGAAGCATTAATCTCCTTTTCCTCCAGCGCAAACCCAGAGTTACCCTCCAAAAGTTTCTTCTTCCTCTTCCTCTTTATTTGGGGATTTACAGCAACTTCCTCTTCTTCACCGTAAATTGGAGAGGCCTCGCGTTGAAGAGTCTCATCATCGGCCTGGAGATGTTCTCCCAGGGTTTCCGAACTGGAAGCGCCCTTCGATTTTCGCTTTTTCATTTTAGGAACGAACAATGAATTTTAAGTGCAAGAGTAGGGAGAAAGTGGATTTCAATTTTCAATAAGAAAATACGTGCACGAAAATAGAGGAGGGAGGGAGAAGTGAGTGTTCGCGAGTCTCTTTGCGTATGTCAGGGTTCTTAAGCCGACTGCGGAAGTGGAAGCTGGTGGTGAGGAGGAAGCAGTGTATTAAAACTCAGACCGGACAACGAAACGAAAATGTCAGCAGGCCACATATCTCATGGTTCAACCGGCGGTCGAACTTGTAACCTAATAATTTGGAAAAAAAAAAAAAAACACACACACACACACTACATCAAGTTATTAATACAACACCACCATAAATTCACAATATGTTCTAGTTGCCAGCACCATAACCCCACGACATGTAAAACAATTTGTGTAGATGCAGCGGAAATTTTCTTTCTACAATGGAAGTTGGTGATAATGTAGCATCGCCCATCTTAAAGACAAACACCCCTTTAATGCATAAAAGCTATCAGAACATTAAAAATAAACTGGAGCTAATTTTGGCAGCATTCAGAACCAAAGATCACAAGATCAATCAAATGGCCACACAATCGGATTGAATAATTTTTCAAATAGCAGAGAAAAAGAAGAAGGCATCGCGAAGAATCTAACCTGGAAGTGGGAGGATAAGACGAAGATAAGAAGGGTGAAGGAGACGAAGGTGAGAGAAGAGTGAAGAACGTAAACGTCGATCGATGCTGAGCTTAGTGAAGAGTGAAGAAGACGAAGACGAACTCGAGTTCGAGCTCCCACTCCCAGTCTGCTACTCTGCCACCGTTGAAGAAGACGAAGAATGAAGAAGGGCGGAATAGAAAGAAGGCCGATCGACGCCGACCGAGAGTTGAGACTGAGTGATGCGTTGCTGAGACGGTGAGGGTGAGACCCAAGGGTTGGAGGCCGAACAAGGGAGAGCGACTGCGAAGGCGAGGGCGAGAGGCCCGGTTCAAAGCAGGGTTTTCCAATTTTTCAAATACCAATTTTGCCCCTTCAAAGGCCTGCCCACCCACAAATGTCCGTTCCGGGTTCCGTTATTTCCCGGCTCTTTAAAACCAGCCTGGTTCAAAGCAGGTCAATTGGGCCAAATGGTTTAACCTAATTATTTTCTTTCCGGTGACGGTTCAGTCATCCGGACCAGTCCATGCATTTTGTTCAAAGGGAAAAATAAATGCAATTCCTCTCTCTCTCTCTCTCTTCTTTTTCTTTTGCCTGAATTTTTTTGGTCATTCACATAGCTGTTCCTTTTTTATTGGGCCCCTGTTTAGCCCTTTCGAAGTTTCCAGGCCAAATCCTTGGACAATTTGCAGTGCCTTATGTTGTTGATCCCCGGATGTATTATCACAATGTCTCCATCTGATCTCTTTTAGATATATAGCCCTGGCAAAATCAACAAAATGGGCAAGCACTTCACCAAGTTCATTAAAAAAAATTAATTTCAACTAAGATCAGATTTTCAAAATCGTAGTTAATTGAGTTATAAAGAGAAAGGAGAAAAACATATAAGTCCAAGAGAACTAATTAATTCAAATAAAATCCCAACCAATTTCAAATCACTAAACTTTAAAAATTTACAAATTTAACTCTCAATTTTACAATTTTATTATAAAAAAATTTACAACTTATATATCAAATTTTAACATGATTGAAAAATAAATTTGAATATTTTTTCTTTTAAACTTTAAAATGTAAATTATAAATTTATCACAATGAAGTAATAAATTTGAAAACCGAATTTACAAATTCCTAAAATTTAATACTTTAAAATTAATTAGGACTTAATTTAAATTAATTGATCCCCTTAAAACCTATCTATTATTCTCCCTAAAGAAAACATTAGATTAAATCATAGCTAATTTTCAAAATTATCAAGAAACTACCCAATATTACAAATGAAATTTCAACGGATTTAACCGTGAACGAAGTCAAGGGATTAACCCAGTAATCGAGGCACTATTGAGTAAACGAAATCGTTGGAGACCTTTTAAATCATCTTCACACCGGAACAAATTTATACACCTGGATCCCAATCAAAAAGACGTCTTCCATCAAATTAGTTAGCCGATCATATACCATCAATCAATGGATATCTATATACCGCCAGCAAAAATTTGGATTCAAATTGGAAAAAAATAAAAATACGAAACTCACGCTACCTGATGTCAACTATCAGATGATGAAACAAAGTTATTCCATATCGAGATAGAGTCTCCCAGTAAAATTAGGAGGAAGAGCTTATCTTAGTTTTCTCTAAATGAATACTTGAAGTGCCTGCGTTCATTGGAAAGTCTACATGACACCCTAGTGTCAACCCATCCAAGCCCCACGCTAGCTCAAGCATCAATTGGATGAACCATTTTACCATTTCTGGATTCTCTCGTCAAATACGTCCAGAAACATCTAGCAGAACTCATTACAATCAAGCAAGAGTGGTGATCTATCCAGCTTGTGGTGTCCTCGGACCGAATCTTCCGCGGAGGTTATCACAAGTTCTAGACACCAAAAGAAGTCTGGGATCGTCTTCAGGAATCTCACGTTCCTACATGCCAAACAACAAATAAGGATTCAGTTTACATGTAAGACAGCTAAACAGTAACTATACCCAACAGAGACCGAATTATGCAATTTTGCGTAGCAAGAACAAATGTGATTTCACAAACTATCAAGAAATATTGAAAGCAAACAGAAAATTCAATCAACATTGAGGCCGCAAGCTCACTTTTAACCCTTGGTAATAAGCTTCTAAGGCAGGGAATGAAGGGACTATTTTACGAGCTCGCATCAGGTCCCATATGTAGTTAGCAGTAGTATATCCCCCAGTCTGCAATTCAACAAAAATCACCCGACCACTCATTTAAAATATGGGCAGCAAATATAACATATCTCCTCCAAAGCCCAAAACAAAAGGAACATGAGTACCTTCTCACCAGCAGCTACAAGCAGGAGATCACTTCCCATCTTGGGATTCAAGAAAAAGTTCCTTGAAGTCATATTTACCTAAACATTATAGATTAACGGTCAGCTAATAGTCTAAATAATTCGTGTAATCAGAATGACTGAAGTTAGAGCAACATGCCAGCGTGTCTTGAGCAATTTGCATTCCCTTTGGAGTGTGCCCAATCATCGCACCTTCTGCAAGTGTCTGCACCAATGATGGTTTGCATAAATAAGTGTGCTCTTTGAAGGAATCATAACAAGAGAAACAAGAGAGCATTGATTTAACATAAACTGACTTCAAAAGAAATGAAAGCCAACAGGAGAGCAGCCAAAATTGAAGTTACCATGAATAAATACATAACTATCGGCCAAATATACCATAAATGGAAGTCGAAGGGTTGAACACTAGATACAAGTGGGGAAGACAAGTAGCAAGTAGAGATTGGCTGCCACCCTCGTAATATAACACCACCTATTGCTACAAATATGTGGAAAGAATAAAACTTGCAGATAATGTCACTTCAACGTATGCAGACAAAACTTCAACTAACGCAGACAGAAATCTCCTCATACAACTAACGGCATTGTGCAGCTATGCACTATTTAGCGGATAAATATGCTTAACATCGAGTCCTCTAAACCCAAGAATGATATTTGTTCCCCGCACTCTAACAAGAAGAGAGGGCATGAAATAACAGGGGAAAACAGCAGCTGCTACAAAAGAGACTGATTAACTACATAGAGATGACCCAATATACTTAGGATCAAATACAATATAAGATGTATCAGAGTTCATGAAAAACTATCTGGTCCCTTGGACTTGGTAAGTTCAAGGTCAAGTCCAAGCTTTTTGAATCAAACCAAAGACACCAAAGAGCAAGATAAATAACAGAGACTTAGACAAACTCACCACATAAAGTTCTGGAGCAAGAGGCTTTCCTGATTTCACGTAGTCTTCAAATGTTTGAAGACCACGATCAAGGTCTCCAGCATGTAAATAGCACCTGTATAAAATCGGTAATCAGTGATAAATTGGATTATTTAATAATAGAATTGGCAAACATATACCAGGAGAATAAAACAACAGCAAGGTGAAAGGCTTGCCACATTATTAATACTGGCTCCAGAGTAAGTTAACAACACTGAAATTTTGGACCATGACATACACCAAAAGACTTGCAAAAGGCAATCAATCAATTCTCAAGTGGTTCAAATGATTAGCACATGAAAACAAACATGAGTCACCACACTGCTTTAATTAATTGACAGACAAATGAGAAGTCAAACTAAGGCATTCCGGAAGTTTTCAAGTTATTAAACAGTAAAGCTTCTGAAATTAATAATCATGAAATCCTCACCTAATTACTTGCATGACGATATAGGTATCAGGAATTATCCCTTCCTTTTTTAGCATCTCTAAAAGAGTATCTGTCAGCTGCCACAATCAAAAATGAAGAATTGAAATTTTTCAAAAGAGATTTTGAAATAAAGAGATATAAAATTATTTTTAAGAAACATGAATCTGAATATTAAAAAAAGAAACCAAGTCACGCATGAACAGGCATGGAGAAAGTCCAAAGTGAACTGGATGAAGCAATTGCGTTTGGTCATCAAAGTTCTGTCAGTCTTGGTTTTCAAGTCTACTAACTCTATTCAATAAACATCAAGTGATATGACCAAAGTAATGCAATGATGCAGCACTATTCATGCTTGTATAACCAAAGCAATGGTCATTCCATCACTTGAATCTCAGCTCATTATGGGGCTGGTAATGGTGATAGGATCTTTTTTTAGGGGGAAAAAGAGGTCTGCTCTGATTTTAATGGCCAGGATAACTGCTTATTTACATCCCCGCAGAAGGCTTGTAAGTGTGAAAGCTGATAGGAGTTTGGAGGCCACATGCCAGTAGAATTCACTCTTCATGACAGTAAGCATACCACCGATTGGAATCCCTAGCTCAGTTGCCCCTCTTTTGTTAACTTAATCTGTGTCCAACATATGCATGACAAACAATGTCTAAAAGGCTTCCTTTAATAGGGTGGCACATAAGTGCATTTTTGAGAATTATAAACTAAAAGAGAGCAGCATTACCCTGATTTCCTTTGCAGCAAGTAAACACGCAAAACAATAATGATATCATGCAAAAACGTATCTACAAGGTTTAGTGTCACAAGACTAGTCTTTCGATCCGTGCGGTACTTAGACACTCTTCACTAGAAGATGCTAAGTAAACTTGACTTGCGAGTAAAAAAATACTTTGGCAAAGTTGAGGGATGGAAGTCTTGAAAGCAAAGGATGATTGAGAGAATTTGGGAAATATGAGAATTGTATTGCTTTGAGAACTCAAAGATGGTTACGAATGAGGAGAGTAGAAACATTTATAGACCTCCTCTTGTATCTAGAATGTTCCCACCTCCTTAATGGACGGTGGAGATTAATTCAATCCTACGGTTATTGGTGATTCTCTTAGAAATCCCTACAAGATATTTTACAACAAATATATAGATATTTACAAGGAGTTCTCTAGACTCTATCTTAAGAATTCTACTAGAATTGTCTTACACACTCTAGCCTTCTCAAGGTTAATCAAGAGACTTTTGGAGGATTTTGGAAAGTTCAAGACCATCGTAACTTCTTGAAAAATCATGGAATGTGACATTAGTTCCATAATTATATTTCAACATCTCTTATCATGTGATTTAATTAACTTATGTCACATACAGAACTAAAACAGTGAGAGACAGAAGATAGAGCAAGAACTATATATCAGACAAGTCAGATAAAAATAACAAAACACACAATGACTTTTACCTCAACATTTTTTAGATCAGCAGAAGCATGAAATGCAGTATGATATGCAGTTAATTGTCTAGCCAAAAATCCACCACGTCTATGAACATATTCTGCTGTTGGCAAGTTGTATAACTCCTCATCTGAAACACCCATCATAACATTCTCAGCATTGACACTGTCACTTTCAACTGAAGACCACATCTTTGATCGCTCCACAAACTCAATGACCTTTTCCAAGCATTTTTAATTATAAGTTTAAGAATTTCTGAGGAACTTGAACATCAATACATGGCAGAAAAAAGAAAAAATTCGTGTTACTTTTGTGGCAAAATCATCTGTCACAGGTGTCTTGTTCTCGTGTGCAACTATAAGCCCAGCATAGCAAAACTTGTTTAATCCAAGGCCAGCTGCAGTCATGTCACGGACAATTGCATACCTGGATCAATAAGAGTTTACATAGTATACCATTTTGAAAAAAAAAAATTAATTTTAAGTAGAAACTTTGTTAATGCCCTTAGGAATTTCAAAAGAAGAATATACATTGTAGGCTGCCAGGCTGTATTTGTTCAGGAGTAACATCAAACAGCAATAGTGAAACATAAAACACTAAGCTTTGCAAAAATGAATCCCACCAAACTGAGCAACTTTTAGTGAATGAATTATTAGGTCATAAGAGAAAAGGCTTTAGCATACACTCGATCTAATCGGCCACCAGCTGCACAAGCATGTAGCAAGCAGATGTAGGTTTGCACATTGGGCTTTACTTCCATGTGCTTCATCTCCTCCAAAATCTTCATTTGTAAGGGATAAACGACGAAAATCATTGTGCATTAAGAGAAAAGAGACCAATAACCACTTTTAATATTGCAGAATTCTAAGAAGGCGTGTCAACAAGTTGATGGTGGCTCATACCTGTATAGCCTTATCAGAGTTCTTGCATTTCCCACAAGTTGAAATGAGAAAGTTGTATAAAGTAACCTATGACATAGAATTTTGAGACCACAAAAGAAAATTTATGCAATTAACAGGCAACAAGTTTCACGGGGCACATAGCATTCATTTGACAGGAACCAAAATGCTTTATGAGAGAACAAAAGAACAATTACATTACTCAACTCCCAAAAAAGGAATAGACTGACTTCGTATGAGAGTTGATAAGCTGATTGATGACGCAGTGCAAGCATGAAATCACTCATAGGCATTGTTGCTACAATTTAATTCTAAATGCCCACCTTTGGCCTCGCCAAATGTGGTCATGCTCTCAACTCAAGTCACGTTTCTTTTTACTTGCAGTTGCCACACAAAAATAATCATTTTTTCCATTCCATGCAAGCATGAAAGTATAAAGAATTACAAAACATGCGCAGCTAAATTATCATTCAAGATACATAAACTTAATTAAAAAAAATTATACAGGAAGCTTTAGACTTCCATCATCTACAAGCTGTTTCAATTGGGAGAGAGCAAAGGGTTACCTTAGCACGGTCAAAATATTTAAGTTTACTGTAGAAGACTCTTAGACATACTTGCATGGCATAATGCTAAAGTATTAGGAATTGGGAATATCAATATATCCAGTTTATATCGCGAAAATTATAAGTAAACTTCAAGCAACCAAATTGGCTCCTTCCTATCGTGAACAAAGGCAACCACGTAGCCAGTTTTTAGCAAATATTTTGAATGTTTAGGAGTTGGTCCAGAGAAAGGCTGCCGATTACATCATTTAACGCCAATTAGTATTAGATAGCAGGTACAAAATAGTGCGCAGGCAAACATATGAAGAAAGACCACAAGACATAGATTTCAGTTATATACATCAGGGGTCAAACCCATGACTTTCATTTGGTCCCTGAAGAAGAATGCGTCTTGCAAGCGAGAGCCTTTCATGGTTCCAACAATGAACGAATGAAAAGTGTCCCGAATAGGCTGCACTCCATCGAGCATCATATCATCATACACGTCCCTCAACAAGAAATGCCTATGAAAGAATTGAATACCCAGTGAACCAGATATGGAAATTGGAAACATGAAAGCTTTCGCTTAACTGAAACTCTGAAAGATAAAAACAGAGGACCTTCTTTGAGCGGTAAGGGAGCCCACTACAGTATTATACTCAGAGACGTTATTGGCATAATTTCTTTTAGAGTACTCTTCTGTGGAAGCAGCGAAGTATCGGCGTCCAGCGACCCGGACCAGTGATCCTTGCTGGCCTGAAAAAACAATATGGGCATAAATTCATACAAGATTATCGCAGAGTCCGTAATGTGTCGCTGAGCTTCTTCCGTTCACATCTCTGTATAGAAATGAATAGAGAGAAGGTGGAGTACCGATGACGGAGCGAAGGAGCTTCATGGTCGAGGAGCGATGGATGAGTCCAGAGTCGTGGCTCTCTGCTTGTGTTTTTTCTCTTAACCCTTGGATTCTGATGGCTTTTCCCAATTACCGATGAAGTGGTTTTTGGGCTCAGGATTGTTCAAGGAACCTTTCCTGTAAGCCCAGTGACTAGGCTTGTGACCCGTGTTGCATTTTGAGATTTTCATTTTCTACCTTCTCATATGAGCTTATGAGATTCTGTGACAAAATAAAGCTTAGAAATGGATCATCACGGTGGCCCGAACCAAAAAATAATGGATCATCGCAACTTTTTTCAAAAAAAAAAATAACATTTTAATCCTTCAAATTTTAACTTAATTATAACTCAGCCCTTCAAATATAACTCAATACAACTCAATCTTTAAACTCTCAATCCTCAAGCTTTCCATCACTTTATATTTTTGTCCTAGTCATTTAAAGCTCACCTCTTAGTTAGCCTATGTGGCAAAAATCGTTTATAATACCGTTAAAATTGTTGACATTATCTCCCAACTCAGTTGCATTAGGCTTTTTTTTTAATAAAATTGAAGGATGGGGAATAATCTTGAATAAAGAAGAACATAAACGCATAAAATAGATTGAGGGAGAAGAACATGAAGGTGGAAGAATGGATTGACAAAGAAGAAAACAAGAGCACGAGGAGACCTGAAGCATCGATGGAATCAAAAGAAACTCATGAATGATAATCCAGTTTGATAGAGAAGGCATTAACTTTTAAAATTTCATGTCATTTCATCATATTTTTTTAATTTTAATATAGTTTATTTCAATTGTATATATTTTGATTAACTAGACTAGGAAAATGTGCATTTTTTTGGGTTGCTTACTTGGTTTAATTTGATATTTTTGGGCTTAATTTATATTATTTTAATTTAAAGTTTGATTATGTGCATTCTTTTATTAATGCTTTTGAAAGGCTTTTGAATGAAAAAATTAAATATATGAAGGATAAGTTTCGTTAACAACGAAAACAATACAAAATTGATAAAGTTGTCCCAAAATTAAAACTATCATTTGTGATTTTTACCGCTGTCAATAAAATACTCCATTTTATTTATTTAAAAATACTCGAGTATGATGCATATATGCTGCTAGCTTGATCCAAAATGCATTATACACACTTAAAAGACACTTTGAGAGTTTTGTTGTGTTAGAATTTGAGCTTTTGATGAGTTTGATCTAAGAGTTAAAACTTTGAAGACATTTGAAACTTGATTTATTTAGTTCTTTTATTTCTTCTTCATTTCTCGTCTTGTAATCCTATTATGACTATGAATATTTTGTATATTTGTAATTTTTTGATATTTATAGGTAACTAAGCTCTTTGTGTTAGAATTATTTAAACCCTTATATGGATTAACACCAAGTTCCTCTCCTCTGCTTTTTTATTATTAATGTCATATATGTTTTTATTTTACTCTTTTTTAATGCTTCTGAATGTTTGGCCATCATTTAGATATTGGATTCATTTAATTAATACTTAAGAGGGCTATATTAAGTGTATAACTTAGGTAAAATAGTGAAAAAATTTGATATTTGCATGTTAAATAGATAGTTTTGCTAGTAAGATGAAAATATACTTGCTAGCCTTACATAGTCATATTAGAGTTGGTGTCTAAAATTTAGTTTTATTAACTGTAACAAAAGACTGAATGATTAATTTAACCAAATACTTGTTCATGACCTGGGAGAACTTGTTTCAATATTTTTAGAACCCAAAAAATATTTATGAGAGGAGATAATTTTAGTGCTATAAAATGCAAGAAGAATAAATAATCCTAGGTCCCAATTTATTCTTGAAGTTTATCAATCAATTGCTTTTCTTTATTTTCTAGTGTTAATTTAGTTTGCAATATCATCTTCATTTAATTATGTTTTGGCTCAAATTAGTTAAACTCACTTAGTTTTTTCATTTGATAGTTGTTTTTAAACAAATCACAAAAATAACGATACTTTACTTTTATTATATTATTTGGTATAATCCGTGCATTTGCGAAGAGCAACAGAAAGAAACTCATGTTTAGAACATTGATTGAGATCAATGGAGAAGGAAACCCAAATCAATGGAGGAGACTAAATCAAATCTCTACCTAGTCCAATAAAAAAAACAGATTCAGAAAAAAAAAAGGAAAAATAAAGCTTTCCAATAAGCCACATTGATTTTCTATATATTGATTTGTTGTTTATCTCTTGTTCATCGCCGATGGTGTTGGTTTTTGATCCATAGGGAAGAATGACAAAGATAACTGATGAAAAATGGAGGAAAAGGTTTTTCAAAAATGGTGGAGATCCCCAGCCTACCGATCGCTTGTTGCTAATCTCGTTTGTTTCCTCGCCCATCTTGCTCGCCTTCTTGATCTAAGCCACTCTTGTCATCTCACCCCCTGTGTTCTATTTTTGGGAAAACCTCCAGCTCGACAATTGTTTTTTTTTTTTTGGTATTCTGATATGAAGTTTAGAGTCTAACATGGAGCTAAGTTAGAGCAATTTTAATTTTGTTAAGAATCATTTGTGCTACATCAAATTACTTGGGAGAGAATATAAATCATTAATTAACAATAGGGACTAAAATTTTGAATGTACAAAAATTAAAAGACTGAGTTATGTTAAATTATAATTGAAGAATTAGGTCTTAACTGAATTAAAACTTAAAAAATTAAAAAATTAATTTCTCTATTTTTTTTTTCCCTCGAACCTCTTCAAGTATTTCTTTTAGTCACAAGGTCTTCAAGTTCTCAGGCTGAAATTCATATTATCACATGTTGGTGGACTACTCTTGGCTCTATTTAAAAACAAATAAAAATATTTTTTAATTTTATTTATAAGGCATGTTATTAATTTTTTATTATAAATTTTTATTTTCACCCTTCATTAAGTGTTTGTGAAAAAAATATTATTAAAATATGAATATATAATAAAAGTGAAGTTAAAAACTTATTAAATTTTTAGGTATAATTAATGAATTTTAAAGTTTTACTTAGTTTCAGTTAAACATGTTAAAATTTGAAAGTAACTTAAATAAAATTTGAGAGAATGCTGCATCTTTTATTTCTTTTTATAATTATTGCATAATATTTCCTCTAATTCTATTTATAAGGAATATTTTATAAAGTCTATTTAATCTTATTTATAAACTACGATGCAACTTTTTAGATAATATTTAAAAAATATTTTCATAAGTACCCTTTGAAAAAAAAAAAGGTAATGACATTATTTTTAAAATTTGTTATAGTCATGTCTCCCTATAGAAGGGAAAAAAAAGTAACATGACTTTACTTTTTAGTTTGGATTTTTATTTTTCATTTAAAATTGTTTTGTAAAACAGAATAAAAAGAAACCTATTTGATTGTATTAATTTAAAAATAATTTTAAAATTAAAAAATTGGCCTATAGTAATAGGCACTTATTGTTAATGGTGGCGGTTTACAATAATCATTGATCAATATAATTATAATTTTTAATAATTAAATACAATAATTATATTTTAAAAATATAAAAAATAAAATGAAAATCACTTTAAGATGTTTAAATTTTCTTTTTTTTAAATGATAATAGTTTTGAAAATAATTAAATTCAAAACATTTACCAAAACAAGTTTTTATTTTCATTTTTTTATTTAAATTTTTTTTAAATAGAAACTAAACAAACCGTGAATTCTCTTTTAATTGATATTTCAGTTTTATCATCAATCCATTCCATAAAATGATTAAAATATCATATCTTTCCTCTATTTTTGAATATAAAAGAATCTGCTATATGTCTCTTTGTTTTTTATTGTAAGAAAAAAATATAATTTTTAGTCCTCACACTTTACACGTGATTTGTTATTAGTCATTATACTTTATTTTTGATGTTTCAAGTCTCTACAGTTTTTTCCGTCTATATTTTAAATTTTTATACTTTTAGATAATGTTGACATGGCATTAATGGTGTTAATTATACTGATGTGAATAAGAGCATAATTAATTATATGGTGATGTGTTAGTTAGTGGCTGATGTGTATTTTTTTTTTTGAAAAAAAAGAAAGAAAAGTTGATGTGTACTCCCTCTAATTCTTATTATAAGACACTTTTAACTATTTCATAAATCTTAAAAAAAGTTAATTTTTTTATATCATAAAAAAAATGATATATATTTTCATTTTTATCCTTTATTTTAAATAATGATACAACTATATTAAATAATTTCATATTAATCAATCAAGGGTAAAATTAAAAAAGTAATTTAATTATTACAAAGTGTCTTATATTTTGAATCAAATTTTTTTTTTGAAATATGTCCTATAAATAAGACCCAAGAAATTATTTTTTTAATAACTAAAAAGTGAAAAAATTTTGTTCTAACTTCAAACGGAAATAATATATTTTATATACATTAAAAAGCAATAAACCATTGTAAATCTAGCCCCAAACTTGACTTTGAAATACAAAACCATAGGAAATGTACCTTGAAACACATAATTGTAATAAACTTAAAAATAGACACATGACATTTTTTTTATAGCCTTGAATCCTACTTAGATATATAATAATTATTAAAAATACACATAACCTTTTCTTCTTTTTTTTCTAAAAAAATACAAATTAATCACTAATTGAGGTGTCACCATATAATTAATGGTGTTACTGTCAACATCAGCATAATTAATATTGTTGATGCCATGTTAGCACCCATTTAAAAGTGTAGGGATCTAAAATACGAACGGAAAAAACTGTAGGAACTTATAACATTGAAAATAAAATGTAGGGATCAATAACAAATTGCGTGCAAAGTGTAAAGACTGAAAGTCATGTTTTTCTTAATTGTAAACAAAAATAAAAAATTTTAAAAATATTTATTACATTTTTTCAAATCGCTTCTCATAAATTCAATGTTTATTTTCATTAGATAAATTTATTTTATTAATTACAAGGATAATTTAGTTTGATTTTATAATTTCAAATAGAATTATTATATGTGATCAACTTTATTAAACCATGTAAATTAGTTATTTTCTCTTACACTTGAAATGGAAAGAGTAAATGAATATTATATAAGTGACCAAAGGTGCTTGATGTCAATTCAATCTCTCTCTCTTAAAAAGCATATTAGAGAAAAAAATGAAAA